AAAAACCCATGGTTCTAGCTGGCGATAGTACCCCATTTTAGCCGCCCCCCCCCCCCCCCGCAATTTGGCGGTGCACACTTGTGACGGAAAGCATGCCCTTTCCAGAGATCCAAGAACGCCGAGATCATTGGACAATCCAACCCATGAATAGATCGTTGGAAAATCCAACCCATGAATAGATCATTGGAAAATCCAACCCAAGCATTGTCCTCCCGTACCTTAGGGGACCTTGGTGTGGTTTTGGTAGGAAATCGTGCCGCCACTGTCCCCTGCTCATGTTGGCTTGTCCCAAACGCAAGTTATTCGGAATTCTGCGACATTTGAGATCGCGCTCCTGTCACGGAGCCGTGCACAAAAAAATGTCTACCCACGATCCTGCCCATGTTCGCCTGCCGAACTCGTGCTACCGCGACAATCCTTCCCACATTTAGCGTGGGACTCGTGTTGCTGCCTCAGCGCATCTCAGTGGGTGAGCGTGGTGGGGTGGAAATCGGGCTCTCGTCATCTCCGGGACAGGCCAGAGCAGCAAGCTCCCCACGCAAGGGACGGTAGCACCGTCGAAACAAAGGGAGGGCACAGAACAGAGAAGCACACAATGTAGTATGCCCGCTTTACCCCAAGCAATGAAAGAACAGCTGGCAGTTACATATCCAAGAACCATTCCAGGAGCACACCGGGCTTCCAAGACCTCCCCAGCAGTCCCAAATGCCCGCCAAACTGCAGGAAACTGAGAATGACTAGACAACAGAATGGAGGATAGGTCCAGCACCTTTACCAGCGGTTTCGTGTACTGCTGCTGACTACTGGCCCCCATGACTCATGACACATCAACAGCTTGCCAAACCTTGTGCAGAATCGGCGAAGGTGCTGTGGCACCGGAACCGACTGCCGATTACAACAGTGAAAATCCTGTATAAGAACCCATTGTTTATGCACCTTAGCCCCTACCCCCGGCGGGATTCACAAAATTCAGGCTGCTTCAAAACTAAGAACCTCAGGATACCCTAGCTTTGGGGATCACGTTCTTCCCTTTTAATGTTGGGTGGAAGTGGCTTCGTTGTGGCTTGGCTTGTTATGAAAAAACCGGAAATAATAAGAATAAGAACCTTAGGGGGAGAGGGTTCTCATTTTGCCGGTTGGTGCAACCGCAAAAACTCTGTGCCTTTGCCCACCCCTGCCACCAACCTCACCCCCACCCCACTAGCTCAGTGGGCGGGCAGGTGGGCTCATTTTCGCTCCTGTGAGAGGCTATGGGTTCACTTCGCGGGGGTGTCATTTGGGCCGTTTCCCCACCCGGAATCGAGATTTTGGGTGACCAAGGGCAATGCAATTCCCAGCTCAAACGCCAAACCCGCCCAAACCCCACCCGAACCCCGCAAACCCACCCACACCCACCCGTGCCCATTCGTGTCAGGACTGAAGTTGGGCCATTGGGCAAACGCAGAAACGAATTAGTGTCAGACACTAATTCGTTTTTGCCCGCAAGGCAGCGGCAGGCGTGTGGTTGGGGGCAGGAGAGGGTAGATACCATGGCCATTTTGGCCCAAGGTACATGCTACGTCTAGATAAGACCGCGATGAAGAACTTTAGCCTATCCTACTGTAACTCGTTAGCCAGTAAAATCAGAGGCAATGGAAACTACGAACCTTAGGGTAGCTACACTCGCGGGATGGGGTTCTTATACAGGGATTTCAGTGTACACAATTACTACACTGGCTCTCCCTCTGTTGGTCTTTCCGTCTGTCTGTCTCAAGAAGGACCTGGCCATACTCCGCAGCAAAGCCTCCAGCTTCTGCAGCAAAGCGCTGGAAGAGGTGCTGACCGTTTCCACGAGCGCCGATCTTGTGACGTCCTGGCCGGGGCGGGGTGCCTTGGAACATGACCCAATGCCAACGCCAACTGTCCGAATGTCCGTAGCAAGCGCCTCCTGACCTCTGCTTCGGACCGGATTCACCTGACCTTTGTGTGCCTCCGCCCGTGCAGCTGCCACAACAGCTAGGCCGCTAGAGCCGCTAGGTCCTGAGCACCTGCAATGTTGCCTTGCAGCGACTCGTATGATGTACCTGGCATGTGCACGCCACAAAAAGGACAGTCCGCTGAGCTTCAGAGGAGAGCGGGTTACTTCTACATGACTTCGTGTGAGGCTGAAGGATGTCTGTGAGCATGCTGGTCGGATTAGGCGAGGGCACGCATCTGCTCGAGATCTTTCTTCTGCGTGTCCAGCTTCTGCAGCACGACCTCTTGGGAAGAGTCCAGCTTGTGCAGCAGCACCTGAACAAGACGGTTGCGGCAGTGCGGCAGTGCGTGCAGAAGTGCAAATTGCTGCTTCACTGCCCGGTCGCCTGGCAAGCGTTCACCGTCTGCATAAGTGTGACCTGCCAGACTTTTGCAGCAAAATCCACTTGTTCCCATTGTCGTGCCATGGCTGCCTGTCCGAAATCCATGCGTTGAGCCACGCTCTCTTGGGTGGACTCCAGAGAATGATTGACACTCTCCTGCATCAGATCAAATCAAGGAAGGTAAGTATCCCCATTGCTGACGGTGTCTCTCCACCGAACCCGACTTCTAACCCAAGGCCAGAAATCTACGTACATCGATCACTGACGGTGTCCTCGAACGTCTGGAGCTTCGACCTGGGATGCAAACAAGCGCTTGGCACGGAGCATGCCGCGTATGTCTTGAGGTGATTTAAGCAGCGCACGACCACGCAAGTTCCACATGTGCTTTGCCAAGATGCATGACCGTCTCATGCAAAGGCAGGACCTTGACATCGCTTTGCTGGTTGGTGGATATTGCAACTGCGAAGCTTCTGACAGTTCTTGTGCTATCAGAACAATGAACCACCGATTCGGCAATCCGTGAGTTCACAACTCAAGGGAGGAGCTTAAACCCGCGCCGAATGACACTGCCTATGATTTGGATGTGCCTGTCTTGCTGTTGGCAAGTAAGCTCTGAACGCGAATAGTTTGGTCATACCGCGGATCTCTATAGTTCAGCCGAAGTGACTGCACGTTGCACGGCAGCCACAATCTGATCGTTGAAAGAAGACATATCCACCACTCCACCTCAAGCAGGCCAAGTCAGCACACTTGGATCTGACCCTGACACTGTTCGGAACAACTCGGCTGGATGGGTCCTTCCCCACACAGCGCATCACCAGCCTGGCCTAAAGGAGGTGTCACCACTCCGGTGACCTGTAGGGCAGGACTGCTGTGCCAGACAGAGCTAGAATGACAGTGCTCGGAGGCTTGGAGAATGGCACAAGAGCAAAGGTGCGAGACAGTGCGGCCCACGAAGGGCATGCATGTGAGCTGCAGAGTGGTCTGTGTATCGGGTGTACGCCCGGATGCCTGCTCATGCATGCCCATGCCTCATCACACTATGACAGCGAAGCGAGTGAAGAACACCAAACTCCCAAACAGAGATTGCCTGTCCGGACTTTATCGACGTGATGCGCTCCTTGTTGGCTTCCAAAACCTTCCTGGGCGGCTTGCGGCGTTTCGCAGCAAACGGAGGGTCGACTCACAAACTGGCCCGGCTTGGCTTCACTTTGCTTGGAGGCTCGGCCTTGGTTCCTTTAGCGCAGGGAATGGTAAGATTTTGTCACCCGTGGGTGCATCGCTGTCGGTCTCCCAGACCTCCTGCGCGTTTACACCCGGACCGAAACCATGAGGTGTAATTAGCCTTGTGCATTCTTGCTGGGCGACCCGGGGCCTTTGAGAGGTCGGTTTTAATGCAGCCTGGCTTCATGAATGGATCCTCTTTCTCCTGAGACAAGTCAAACGGAATGCCTGAACTTGACTGCGGCACGGATTGCTTGCAGGCCAGAATCCACCACACCGCCCTGATCCTGACCTTGGAAATACACGCAGCCGGCAAAGCTTGCACAAAGATGTGGCAGCATGAAGCTGGTCCTTGCCCCGTACATTACCGGATCAATGCATCCACTTCATAGTACGTGGTACTACAGAGACAATTACGGTAAACCTGGCACGTGAGCCTGACCCCAAAAGCACTCTACTCTACGTGCTCAGACCAGCGTCCCATGTTCATCTTTTCGGTGCTCCAGCGGCGCTGGACAGCATCGACAAGCCTTGACTGGACAGTCGACATGGGAGGTGCCGAGGAATAAGGACACATGCCGAATGCCTAATGTTCAATACGCGTAGCTTGTATTTTCCATGCCAAGACACGCCCACGGCAAGCACAATTCCATGCAGCGTTCCTCACATCATCAGTGCAATGTCAGGAACTTTCGGATTCCACAACGCAAACTCTGCGGAAGGTCCGCTTGCCTGGTTGAGCCTCTCCAAGACAGCGGTGTTGGTAACGCCGCTCTCAACCTACAGCATGCTCAAGCATCTCAAGTTCAGAGAGTCGCAGACACATGTTCGGAGACGTAGGCCAGTCAAGAAAGCCCAACCCTGAGAATCAGGCTGTACCGGATGGGAAAACTCGTCGCAAGGTGAGTCAAGCCTATAAAGCCTGCTTCGCTACTGTGTCGAGATAAGCTGTCGATGTGTAACTACACTACAGTGCAGCACCTTGCGAACTTATCACCTGCGGCTTTTGCAACTCCCAGCTGATCCCACAGACAGCCCCGTTGAGGGTGATGGCCAGGTGCTGACCTGCACTCTGCTCCCAGCTCCCACCACTGAGAAGTCTGTTGATACCAACATCATGTCTTCGGCCCCGGTGTGACCTGCAATGTCACCACCAATCCCGGCATCTTTCTTTGGCCAGAGCAGCAAGCTTGGACATGCGCGGGAGGCTCAGTGTTTAGGTGGGTGTGGTTGCGAGATTATCTTCGTCGTTTCACTTTCCTGCATGCCTGCGTGTAGGAACCATCCTGGGACATCCGCGCGGGGGATTGTTGGACCCTTGGAAAGAAAGTACCGTGCCTGCCACATGAAACAGGGTTCCGCTTGAATTTTTTGAGGGCATGACATTTTTTGTGTGTTAGGTTTGGAAACGCTTAAAACTCGAGTTTTGGACGCGCTCGTCGCACTTGCAGCCTTGCGAGGCTCTTGGTCGGGAAGTTGCAGACTGAAGTACCAGTACCATTGATTACCATGCCGAAATTATCACGCCTGCCACACGAAACAAGGTTCCGCATAGGCAATCGAATATGGTGAAATATCTCATACTTAACATGATATGACATGATATGGTACGACACGCTATGCCATGTGCTTTGGCATGGCCTGTTATGGTGCGACATATGGTATATTATTGGCAGCTGATATATGATATACTGTGAAGTGAAACGACATGATGCCATAGTGTATGGCATGGTATGATCATCTAAGCGGAAATAAGGGCATTTAAGGAGGATGCGAGGGTTAAGGAGTAAGTCCAGGCATCCCAACGGGAAATCAGAGCATATAAGGAGGAAGTAAGGACATCTAAACGGGAGATACGGGCATCTGAAGCAAATAAGGGGCATTTCAGGAGGAAGTAGGGGTATCTACAGGGGAAGTTTGGGAACTTCAGGGCACCGCCACCATCATGAAGACAACATGACCACTACTAAGAAGACTATCACAGGCAACGATCTGCACAAACCGGACGTCCTTTCCCCACCCTCCCCACCCCCTTCCCCAACGTCTAGACAGAAGAAGCAATGTAGTCGCAGTGCTCCCCCAACGCGCTCGGACAGGGTGTAGTGTAGCGGGTTCCCTCGAGGTGCATGTCCGTTTGCATAGGGATGGGGCCGGCGGGTGTGCTGCGCGCGCGACAAGCAGCCCGACCTGACACTGGAATGGTACAAGTATCTGGTCCAAAACAGCTGCGCCCCGGACCGTGTACTTCATGGCGTTTGGCTTAACACATGAGCCCAACCGCAGTTTCGGTTAGTTGGTCCCGGTTGCCAGCTAAACCTCTAAGCGTCCTAAGCATGATCCGCCAACACGCGCCCAGAAATGCGAAGGACATTTTTCAGCCAAAGAGCCAGCAGCTTGAGCAAACGTTCGGTGTGGTTCGCCAGCTGAAGGGTCACCATCCTAAGGCTGAAGAGGCGATGCGTATTGGGCATTCCCGGGCTATCCTTCGGTGTGCAGCCTCAAAAGGAGTTTCGTCCGAGTGACGTGTCGGCCACAAGCTCCACCAACTTCTCCTCGCTTTCCTCAGGCGTTGCTTCGACGTCTTTGCTGCCGCTGTCCACGATGATGCATGCTGCCACTCATTCTGTCAGTGCTGGAGACCCTCCAGGCCCCACTGTGTAAACCATGTGAGAAACGACTAGTAACTAGTGCACGGCCAAGCCACGGCCTCTTCTCCAAGACCGAGCCCATACTCCTGCGATAACAACTGCTGCAGACCGGGCCGTGAAATTACGAGCACAGGTCCTCGGGGTTCAGGTTTCCGCGGCCGCCCTTGCTGCTCTCCATGATGGCCTTCCTAGGGTGGCCAAATGCGGTTCTGACCAGAACACGGACGCAAGGGGGTCCATGTATGTCCACGGAGTCCCATTCGGGCATAGTGTGGGTTATCGAAGAGTGAAGCAGCAACAACTGAAGATCGAACTCGAGCACCTGGGGCTGCATTCCAAATGCAATCTGGGTGTCTGGTTCAGAGCATTCTCAGGTACTTCGTCCGAGGGGGAGAGGCCGTACAGCTCACGTGCTGCTTCCAGCTTCCTCTGGTGGACCAGTTTCCTTGCAGCTTAAAGCTCTGACTGGACTGCGACCACCTGGCCTAACACACAAATGGCTCCATGGACATTTCGAGCCTGTCTCTGGAAAACGATTGCAACGCCATGTCTGTCGCCCTGCTGCTCCCACCCTCGTGCCTTTTTGCAATGAACTACAGCAGCGCAGCAAACACCAATTCACGACTGCTGTCGTCCGGACTGACGAGGAAAGGATTGTCGCAAGCCCTGGGAAGCCGTGACTCGGAACAACATGCCAGGATCAAACCAGTATCCGGCATTTAGTATTTAGGGGAAATGATTATGGATATGCCGCCGGAATGGGGTTCTTTGAGCAAGTCTCATACGCTGACCGATGATGATCATCGAGAACTTTGCAAACCTTGGTGTCCATCAGTTAAGGTTCCGGTAGACCCAGCACTGGCGACATTAAGTTTGATATTAGAAGTTGGTACACTGTACACTTTGCCCAAATCCATCCAGCACGTCAGAGTGTCGCCGCGGCAAAGCTTGCTGGAACTGCTTGTCCGTGTCATCACGCGTGCCTAGACACATGTTCAGCACAACCCATCCCATCTCGATGGTCAACTCCTCGTCGAAAAGGTTGAAGCCTTGCAAGACTGTGCGCAACGGGAGAAGGGAAGCACGCCAGACCTTGGAACACCTGACATACTCTGTGCGCGGTCACAAAGTCGCCACTGTCCAGAAACTACTCGCCAGACGCTACTCAGATGTAGTCGACTTATGTTGAATCAAGATCCTCATCATCGACAACAATTTCACAACAAAGCGGTGCAAGTCCGCCATAGCTTGGGTCCCGAGTTTGGTCGTTCGGGCATGCCCCAGACTCGGCAGATAGCTGCAACTGCATCCAACTCTTTCCAGCCTTCCGGGCTGAGAGCGAACCAGATCGGAAAGGGAAACCACGTTGCAATCAGGACCAAGGTCAGTTTGCCTCGAAACCGCTTCACAACATTTATGCCCCACTTGCGGCATGCACCGATAGCTATGACAAGCCGCCCCCGGTTGCAAGCAAGCTGCGGTAGTCAGACTGCCCATGCAGGATGTTCTCTTCTCCATCACTGTTCCTGCAGTCAGCTGTCTGGCGTGTTCGCGCCACTGGGTTTCTACAGTCTGGGCCGTTCATGAATCAAAGTCCGCTCGGTGCCGGAACGATGCAGCAAAGCGGCTCCGAGATTTGCAAGCCGTTGTAGTAGAACATGATAACGACGAGAATCATGCCAAAGCCGAACCAGATGTAACGCAGTCCTGGTGACTGTTACCCTCTGCCAGCAGAAGCTACCTATGCGCATGCTGCTCCCGAAGAGGGTCTGGAATCATTGGCTTTGGGAGATTTACGCTGAAGGTCCTCCATCTGTAAAGGTGGCAGCAACACCACACAGAAGGACAGCTGCAGACAGCAACGGCATCATGAAACGTCCTGAGAGAGGAGCAAGCTTTGACCCGCACGATCTCAACATCGGAAACGCTTGACATGCTTGCATGAAGCTGCGGTGCACATCTGTCCGCCCAAACATCCGTTTATTGCTTCTGCCGAATTGTAGCTGGTGCTCTTTTCAGATTGGTAAATGCATCCAACCCCCTCGTCATGGCCACTCTTTCAATGATGTTCATAATTGAGAAGAGGACTTCCAGCAGGGCAAGGGTGGGCCGACTCGTCAAGCGAATCTATTGTCGCACAGCACTGGGAATCACTCGGCGTGGCGTGGCAGAGGCTTGGCGTTCTTATGTACAAGTGAAATTTTCCTGGATGTGGTGGAATGGGTGCCAACCAGCTTTCTGTCTGCTGGCTGCTCAAGGACATTGTCAGTGATTCCCACTTTTTTGCTAAATGCTGACAGTTGTTGCGAATTTCGCTTGCAAAAGAAGCAGGAAGCTGATTGAAGACTGGTGCCGATCTTGCAGGGTCGAGACAACACGTATGCACTGTGCAAACAAACATTCCAGACATGCTGGACAGGACCTTCAGGTTGGGGGGGGGGAGTTGGGCGGCCCTCCACCTTGTGCAATGCCACAGTCCCACCCTGGTGAGGGCCCGGGGGCCCCTCCGCCCACTGTTTAAGTTTGGTGAAACCGCCAAACAAGCTCCTAAACGCGAGTTTGACAGGGGTCACTCCTACTGGCTTAATTTGGTAAACGGCAACTCCCACAAGTGCCACAGAGCTAGCTTTCGTGACTTATACGATCACCGGAAAGCGACGACTCAGTCTGCACGATTCCAGTGGAAGACGCGAACTAGAGGTCGTCAGACCTGCTGCTGCAAAAATGTGGCGATGTCTGGGCGTAGTCCGGAGTGGCAGCATCGATCCAAGGCAGTTTTGCTTCTGTGAGAGCGAATATAGACGACCACTTGGCAGGAGCATGTGGGGACTGGCACTACAGTGCAACCACTGTGCAACAAACGGTTGGCTAAGACATGTAGGTGCTTCGTCAGTCGGACAACACGACACACCAACTAATCAAATGCCGTCTAGGTCTGAAATCGAAGGTCCCCCGCATTTTGGTGTCATTTCTTATTTGACTTGGCCTCCGGCAACCTCGAACCAGCGCAGGGGGTTGCATCTCTCATTTCGCGGATGTTCATGTTCTGTCGCCCATAGGGCCCAGACTGCAGAAAGGCCAGTGCTTTAGGGAAGAACGAAGGAGCCTAGCCCTACTAATGCCCATAGCACTGTGCAGCATCGGCAGCCATGCCATGTCAGTGAGTGTGGGTGCTACACTGCTACACAAAGTCAAATGGTACGAAGGGGTGTATTCGGCTCTGTTGCAGGACCTGCTCAATGTTGGTATTGACGATCCTGAAGGCAAACAGATTTCTGAAGGTATGAAAACAAAGTTTTTCAAAGGTGGGCTAGGAAATGTGGGATTCCCTCGGCAAAAGGCTATACTTACTTCACTCTGAAAGCTAACGCTGATCTAGCATCACCCGAAGAGGAAGAGCCTTCTTTCGAGCATGCCTGGATTCTTGAGTGCAGCTTCCCAGCCAAACTTGCAGCGGAGCGTCGGTATGATGGCACTCGTGCACCTGCGAGAATGACCTGGGCCATTCATTGTTAGAGAGGACCTTGCAGCCTGGAGTGCAGCCGTGGCACCATCTTCAGCTGCAGGATGGGGCACCTCGCAGCACTTGCTGTTACGAAAGGACGTGTCAACACCGGAATCCCAGAACTCTGCAACGCATGTCTGCACACCACAGGCAATCTACACAGCAGCATCTATCCGTGGCTGAAGCCTTTCTGTGTGAATTGCTGACGGGGTGCGTGAGGACCCACTCAACAGGCCGAGCCAGCTGAAGAACAAAGCCTCCTGTGTAGCCAGGAATTTGGAAGTCGTCGATGCCAGTGAGCCTCGGGTGGTGAAAACTTGGCTTGGCAATTCCTATTGCCTTGTGGCGCTCAGACAAACTTGCATCTTCGTCTTGGAAGCTGTAGGATGTTGAAGAAGCCGGAGAAGAGGCACACGGCGGTGCTCAGGGTTGCACAGACCGCGTGCCGCTGCTCCAGCGGCGCTTTGGAGGCAACTGCCACCTTCACTGGCTGGGTCAAGCAGTGGTGACAAGAGCAGATGCTTTGAACTCCTTCGAAACACCCCGTCTCAACATTCTGCCACTGAGTTTTGAGTCGTGCCTTCGCATTGTTGGCGAAGATCAGCCACATGGCCAGAACGATGAAAGCCTCGGCAGCAGCATGCTCACGTATGCTGTCGGGGGATATCGAGGTAAACTGTGGTGTCTGCACGCGCCCACCGTCAGATCAAGCGGTGACTCACACGGAAAAAGTAGCATCGGAGCTTGGTCTACAAGGGCACTCAACACCCCCGGAGCTACGCATGACTTCTGTGTGAGCCCCTTTGGGAGATCAAGCCGGCGCTCAACCAAAGGCCGCCGCACAAGCGTCGGTGTTTTTTTTGGCATGTGCGGCATGCTCTGCCGCAGGCTGGAACCGATGCACCGGTCTCAGCATTTTAGGAGGCCATACCGTATGGCCTAGACCTCTAGCACAACCTGGTTTTGCAACCATGCTGCTGTACCCTGAACAATCTGCGCAATGTTGTGTGCGTCGTTCCAATCCTTGGTCGGGGCCACTTCTTCCAGCAAAATTGCGCCTACGATTCAGCCCCCGCCGAAGACTGAACCGTGTAGGGTTGTCGAGGTTGAAATGACGCCTACATTGCGTCCAAGGGTCCACAGTGTCAACGCATTGCTCCGTTTGGAGTCGACGCATTCTGTCAGTCGATTCCTGCAGAATCACTGGCTGCAGGGGTAACTGGCAGGAGACATCGACTGAGCTGACCGCCCAGCCCCCCCCCCCCCCCCCCCCACGCCTGGATTGCGGCGATCGCCTGCGAAAGCCGGCTTTGCTCGACTTGCATGACATCGCGCGGATCCTTAAAGGCAAATCGTGACAAGCTGTTCGCTGCAGGAGGGCAGTGTGAAGGCGACAGGCAAGGCCAAACTGCAATGCAGTAGGCTTTAATCTAAGTTCAACTGTGGAGCCAAGTACGACATCGAGGACATGTGGGACCACCTGAAGTTGCCAGTTCAAGAGAACTTCGATCCCAGCACACGGAATGAAAAGCAAGAGGTTCAGATATTCAGCTGGGTTGCAGATGGCAGCAGTCAGTTGTCCGCGTCGATGTCGTGAAAAGGGAGCTGTCCCCACGGGAGCTGTCCCCACGGTTGCGAGCTGCAATGGCTGCGTAGTCATGCATCTGATAGCATCTGGCAAAGTCTATGTCACCCTTCTAGTTTTCCTCCAGTCTTCACAAGAACTCGGTACAGGTGTGAGTGACTGGCACCAAATACCGTGGAGGCTAACCAAACGGCGGATTGGCTCTAGTCCTAGATGCAGAAGCTATCGAGATGGAAAGGCAACCTGGGGGGACCGTCACTGGAAACTCGCCCCTATTCTGGAAGTTTCTGAACGAACTTCGAAACTACATGCAACCCGACGTAGCAATCATATGATGAAATCAACAGGAACCATATGCACAAGGCTGCGCCAACAGTCGGCATGACAAGACATCGCGCAAGGCACAACCATGTAATATCGTCTTGCACTTTCCCAAAAGCCGGCCTACAACGACCAGTCTCGGCACAGTCTGGGATGTCTTCGATACAGACACTAGAATCCAGGTCGTGACGACTGCGCACCTAGGCAGTCCCTGTAAATCCCTACACCCGCGGATCCTTACCAGACTGGGAAAACTGGGCTTCGTGCCGGGGGAAGCAGCAGGAACCAGTAATACATCCGCCACATCGCAGAGACCTCTTCCGGACGTGACCGGTAAACACAGCTGCGGTCTGGGCAAATGGCTGCACTGCCCTGAGATTACATTCTGAAAAAGCGAAGCGCTGCCTGGCAAACCACCGCCGTTCGTGCATTCAATGAGGAGAAGCATGCCACGACCTTGCAATGCTGTTGACTGCAGCTGGTCATTCAAGATGTTTATCCGGGCTGGCAATCTGAGAGAGCTGTACCACAAAAACATAAAAACCACGCTGAGCCAGTGCTGCAAGAGCAACAAAGACCGTTCTCATCTTCTGCGTGCCGGGCTTGTAGGCGAGCTTGGCAACTACAAGCTCTCAGCATCAAAGCATGAATGAAGCCCTGTTCAATGGACGCACGCTTGCCCCGGCTAGATAGAAAGCGCTGATTTTTTTAGGCACATGCCCACCAAAGCTCGATGAAGAACGCGAAGTCCTTGACTCCAAGCCATGCTGAGCATATGTGAAATGTCTGATTTGACCCAGGGTTTGAGAGCTGCAGAAAGACCACTTGGGGGATATCAAGCCGGTTCATTCTGTGACATGTCAGACTCCTGGTGCAGGGGAGCTGTAGAGGAGGAGGAGGAGGAGGAGCAGGCAGATTTGCAAACAGTAAGCCATAGGCGAGGAGAGGAAGGCGGTAAGTCATGGTGGACATGCAACAGTAAGTCTAACCTCGTTCCGGCTTCCGGATGGACCCCTTGTCGACTAGCGACTTCCCCACATTTTTCGGCAACAGTTGCATAAACACATGGAACATGGCATCCGCAACCAGGGCCAGGAGTCTGACAATCACAACGAGTTGTCAACAACGGTACATGTTTCCAAGGCAAACATGATCCTTTTGCACGGTTCTGATGAATACTGGAGAAAATCATGAGGGCTATGCGCCAGGACAGCATTCCCTCCTCTTGGAACCACTTCGCAGGCAGCCGCGGTATTAAGTTGCCAAGTGTCGAGAATGGTGGCCCGGAACCCTCGTCGAGGTTTCAGCTGGGTCTGCGTGAACCACCTGAGCCGTAGAGGTCACAGCAACGACAAAGCCCCCTAAAAGAACCCCCCTCCAAGACCCGAGAAGATTCTGCACTGTATCGACGATTAGGAAGCCTCAACCATGGTCCATGCCCTGTCACAGCGGCTGAATGCATTGACCTGCATGGCAAACTTGATGTGCAGTCTGAGCTGTCCGCTTTTTCCAGTGAGAGCCACCGTCTTCGAGGAAGAACTGAAGCCAAGCCTTTCAGTTGCATAGTGGCATAGCCGGCGGAGTTTGCGAACAGTGCGCAGAAGAAATCTGTCATGGCATTCGCGTCTGCCTTCATGTCGTTCGCCCAGCACGAGGGCCGAAATTGGTACGGATTGAAGATGAAAGGTGCCAAAAGCCAAGACACCGTGACCTGCTGCATGTCCGAAGTGTTTTGGATTTCGATGCACTTCTCGCGCAAGCTGAGTTGGGCTTCCGGCCAAACTGAGCGACACCATGATGCCATAGAGTTGTGGACCCGTGTTGTCCATACCTTCCGCAAAGCACATTGACATACTTGGCGGCCGTGGGCTCCCCAACTACCGCCTGGTCATCTTACCCCTGTTGCCCGTTTTAACACCTCGAGTCTGCTGCAAGCAAGAATACAGCATAAGCTGACTGCAGCTGGGATACCGCCAGCAACTACAACCAGAACCATGAGAAGCAGCAGGGCTGCTCCGTCGTAGTACCTTAGCTTGACTTTTCCATCGCCGTCTGGCAGCTGCGAAGAATCGACCCGTTCTGTTGCTACCGCTTCTATTCAAGCAGATGGACCCCTCCACACATGCCGAGGCAGTCGCGTGATGCGAGCGTAGTCCAGATAAAGACCTCCAGGTTGAAGTCGACCTCAATGGGCAATTCACAGAGCTGCTTTTACTGTTCATTTGTCTGCCGTTGGGACCCCGGCCCGAGTCGGTGACTACGCCCACGAAGGGTCGTCTTTCTGTCGGCAGTCCTCTTCCTGTGGCAACCTTCGTGAGGACAGTTAGCTTCCCAACCACATACAGCGCGTATAGTCTATTATAGGGTGCATGAGGGCTCAAGAAAGGCGCAAAACCCCTTGTTTGACAACTTGGAACCGGTTCGAACTCCACTCCTTCACAGCACCCACCTGACGACTGCAAAATGTCTGCACGAGACGCTCTGGCTTCTTGTGTCACCATAGCACTCTCACTTTCGGTTCGTGGTGAAAATCGGACGCAGCACTTGCATCCTTCTACGCCGTGAACAACTCTAGTTTGTGCGCCTGCTCAGCCAGGTGCACACAGCTCGCCACTCTTCTGTTCGCATTGCATTGTGTTGCATGGCCCGTGTGACCAAGATTGGCCAAGTTCTGGCAGTGCCAGAGAAGGCGCAAACTCTAGGCCGACATCATCGAAACGAGCTTTCAATGCAGCGGATTGTTGCCAATCGCGGAAGCCGCCACAATTGTTCCAATGCTGAAGAAAGGCAAAGATGATCCCTGGTACTTCCTCGGAATCGCAGAAGCTTGAGTAGGGTTCGCGCACATTCTATGAGTGATCGACTCGCTTCTGACAGTGGGTAAGCCGCGTCAAACTCACTCGCAACAGGGTCTGAAAACGGCTATGGCTTTGCGAAACCTTCAAGTCTACCAAAACTCAGACCCCGAAGAAAGGTGAGAGCGGCATGATGCTTGGCAATCGTTTGTTGGTTCTCAGGCAGGATGCACATCGTTCTTTATGGGATCCTCAAGAAATAATGTCTTCGCGAAGTAGATCTGTGGCAGGATCAATGCAAGCAGTCCAAGCGCATAGTTCGTCTCACCTTGGTGGCGGAGTGCGGGTGATGCCGGCAGCAATCTACGACCGACTGGACCGACGGGAGGTTCGTAAGCACTCATATACATGCTCGTCCAGTCTCCAATGTAAAGCAAATACCCGACAATGGTGAGCTGGACTGAGTCCTTGATGATCGGTGCCATGTACCTTGGCTCACCTAGAGCCTAGAGTCTACACTGGTTTAGGAGCAATCCCGACAGGGCTTGGGTTTATGCTCTCCATGTGGGTAAGGGCAAGCTCAACACCTGGATGCTTTGCGGTGTCCACCCCAAAGACAACTGGAGCGGAGGAAAGCCCCAGCTTCGCATCTCCTGTCAAGGGTCCGGGCTAGGTTCGATGTGGAATCTGGAACTGCGTGACCCCCTTGTGCCTTCCACGCTCTTGAAGTCGTTGACAATGGCAATGCCAACAGCCGCGACTGAGTACCAAAGAGTCAGTGCGATGATTTCCGGTGTCGCCTTCATATGAGGGCTCTGAGGCACTTAAGGAGCAAATCCTCCACAATGGGAACTGTAGGAATGGAACTGCAGGAATGTGTCTTAAGGCATGGCCTGACCGAACGTGCACTGCCCAGCCAGCCACGGCAAAGCTATGTAGCTGGAACCCAAGGCATAGCAGCCGGAGATCCAGTTTTGCTTCAGCTTTAGCCTTAGTGGAAACTGAACGGCCGCACTCCTGCCCACGAAGCAAGTATTTATCGTGGACACCCGTTGTGCTTACAAGAATGGTCACGGAGGATTTCCTTTTGCAGCCGGGCCGGGTTGCCTTTCGGCTTGGTGCTGAAGTAACCGTGAGCCGAGCAGCGGTGGGGCCGAATATATGTAAGCCATGAAGACACCTTGGGGTGCATTACATTCTAACATCCTGCAAACGGTACTCATGAGACGATACCAGCAGAGACGATTGGGATCGTGTGCTGTCACATCCTACATTGTCCTACACCCAGCTGTGCCAGCAGAGATACCCACAACCGCCACGGCAAAAACAGTCGGAGGCCAATGGCCTTGCCAGATATCCTGTGGCATTGCCGCGGCCATCAAGCACTTGTCCCATACTCTTAGGGCTTGGTCGCTGTGTTACAGCTCTTTTGTGGAGGATTCCGGATCATGCCCAATGCCTACAACATGGGCTGCAGAATGGACAAACACGTCGCGGGTCCAGTGCCGCCGCCATTCCTAAGCCCAGGCCGCCCAAAACGTAGATCTGCTGCCAGACTTCTTCCTGAATGCTTGCGCAACTTTCAACTGGAGAGAGCTAGAGACACTTGAGTGCGGGGCTTCTGTGATGCGGCCAGAAGGAATCGGGCGGTAGGGCTCGTTGATCGCATCCAGATCCTTGTCGTACCAGTCATTCAGTGTTTGCCTTGGTCACGAATGCTTTGTGAATGGAAAACGGTTCTTGCCTTGTAAACTCCCTGCACCCGTCATCTGTCTGATGCTACAGCCTCCCTTCTTGTTGAACATCGCCAGGATGTGACCAATGCGGACAAAGGTACGTGTAGCCAACCAGGACTGGACCGGACAGCGTCACGCACAAGAGGAACCTAAGCCGGGCAGTCTCCTGAATTCCTGTCCGGCTACTCTGGTGTCCTGCGAGCCCGAGAATAAGGGTGGGGGAGCGGGGGGGTTTTGGTTGTGCTCGGAATGGTGTACGTGCACAGGCACACGCACTGCCAACTCCTAGTCTTCCATCTCCTGGCACATGCTTTGTACGTGCAGGTGCAGGTGATTGATCAGACCACCCTTGCCTTGAAATGAGAAGAGTCATGATGAGTCATGGTTCTTCCAGGCCTGGAAGCCCCCGACATAGCCCCGTTCGGTTCCTGCTTTGGAAGTTTCAGGATGCCCCTTTTGACTCTAAACCCTAATTTCAGGAGGCCCAGCCAAACAAGAAATCTGTCAGGATGTCGGTACGGTTTCCTTCTAGCTTGCATGTTGCTTGCTGTTTCTTGGGTCCAGCTGATGCATTGGCGGCATCAAGGCCTGGCCTGGCACCTTTACCACGAGGCAGCCTTTCACTGATCGTGGAGCAGGGGTCAGCTTTGACTCAACTTCAAAAAAAAAGAAGTCAAGGAGTCAAGCAGAGGGGGAATTTGCGGACAAGACTCTTTGCATACTCCTCTGGACCTGCTGTTGACCAGTCAAAATTGCCACTGGCACACACGCCTGCAGGGATCCAACTCACGGCTTCGAGGGTGATGAAGACTCACTCTGCGGCGTCGGAGAGGCTGCTACCGTAGCTGTCGTGAGCTATTGCCGGAACGTCTGTCTGCCGCTCACGGCCTGCAATGACGCCGAAGATCAGCGGCGGCCAGGTGACCGGCTTGCAGAGCTGAAGCCGGATCCTGCAGTAGGTTTCCCCACTTATCCCCAGTTCCGCAGCGAAATCGCCATTTCGGAAACAAGCTCTGCTGGCTGCTGGCGCAGCCATGCACCGGACATGAATTAGTGAAGAGCATCTTCCATAGCGGCTCATCATCGGTTTCGCTGGCCCCCTTCATGCCCAACAGCTGCTGAAGTGATCCTGCCAGATGCTGGCACATCCCATCAAAGCAAAGAGAGCGCCTAAATGCAATCCTAAGACTGCTAGGTGTCCGGTGTCCTAGGCAGAGGGCATGTGACACTGCCCGATGGAACCATGCTTTGATATCTCCCGGCGTCCTTTCTTCTCTTCTGCCCTCCTGGTACTTCTGTGCCCTTAGATCTTGCGAGGCAGATCCAGGGATGCAGGCGGATGCATCCAACCCTCTGGTGGTGGTGCTCTTCGAGGGCTTCCTAGGCTCGCAGTCCTCAAGTACAGTAGAGGAAACATTTCGGACAATGTGGATGACCTTGGGGCGCAGGGCTGCTCGTCTGAACAATGCACTGCTAGATCGCGTACGTCGGCATGCTGCAAAGACAAAAATTCACGGCGGCCTGTGTCGAAAGCACCTGCAGACGATGTGCATACAGCTTGCCTGTATACTATAGGATGCGAGGCTCTTAAAGTCAGGAACCCAATCTGTTCGAATACGTACATGATCGTACCTGTACTTTGACACGCAAGACGCGACTCCCCCACTTACCTGAAACCATCAGCGCAAAGCTCCTGGAGTTTCGGCCCTGACTCCTCAGATAAGTTCTTCCGCAACAAAGCCTTACGTTCCTCCTTGCAGATGAATTGCGAGACTGCGACCTCGCAGCCAGCACGGCCAACATCGCGAAAGGCAACGCCTCAGTTCCAGGCACAGCACACATGTCACAGTTTCAATGTGCAAGCTGCAAACCCCAAAGTTTCATGGCAAGGTATGAGTATCTCTGCTGCCCAACGCCAAAGACACTGCCCCTCGAAGTGTTTCATGTCAGTCAAACCCTGCAAACCTCAACAGCAGTGAATGCAAATTCATGCAATATTTCCTTTCGAGTCTCCGCAGAGCCGGCCGCAGAGGCGGAGATCAAGCTGGAGCCGCTTGAAGAGTCCATGTCGCCAGTTGCCGGCCTGACCTCGTGACTCGCGACGCGCGAGGCGTGGTGCGCTGCCCGCATGACTCGAAGATGGCCTGATGCGACTTAGGCAAATCCGTAGATGGGGCCGCGCGCCCTGTTGACACCGAGATGAACCTCAAAAATCAAAGTCCGTTCTTTCGGCTCTTTTCTCATCCTCGTGACCTGGCTGCGATTCCCTGCCACGCAACCCTGCACTTCCAGCACCCAATGCCACTGCGCAGAGAGCTGCTCTGAGCAGTGGCCGCCTCACAATGAAAGCTTTTCGGTAGCGTTCGTCGCCAGTCGCTTTCTGTGGAAAGTCTCTCAGTGCCTCCAGTGCGGGGCCGAGCCGATGGCAGCCATGGCGTAGGCTTCGACTGCAATCGGCTACAGCGGCTACAAGCTTGTCGAAGCTTGTCGGAGCCCGTGCAAGAATGAACCTCTCTGGACGAGTGCACACAAGGCACAGGCGATCCGAGTGAGGGGCATAAGTTGCGCCGCCATACTTGAGCTCATTCATTGTGTAGAACCCGATCACCTTAAGTTTCAGAGAAGAAGGCGAGCTTGAGGGGGCGCCGCGAGGCCGGGCCTTGGCCTGGAAGATGAACATGATCGGGGAGAGCCTCAGCAGCACGAGCTCCCAGAGGCTAAAAGCGCGCGCGCCGCGCCGTTCTCTCGGCAGGGGCACGTGAGGAGCTGCTTCACGAGGCGTATGATGGAGGTCACCAGGCCGGCCTTCCAGAAAAAGCCACGTGTCCGCAAGTCTGCCCTAGGCTGCCCTTCGCCTGCATCCACACTTCAAAGAAGATCGGGGCCATTTGAGCAAGGAGGAAAACGATGAGCAAATTGCCCGAGTAGATGTACCTGTTGTTTGCAGTGATCCTAGCTACTGTGCTGGCTCTTCACGGAACGGGGCAGCAGTAAGCTTGCAGAATTCAACACGTACCCGCCATGAGGCGTGAGGAGGCAGCAGGGTGCCCAAATATGTAATAGCTACGGACCGATATGTTTGACGGTCGTAACTGAGCTGTGAAAGCCACCTCTGCAGCATGAGCCAGTGGAGAGAAAAGCAAAGCAGCTCGACTGAGGCTGCACTCTCATGAGAGGACTCGTTCCCGAAACGCCGGGGCACTGCCACGCTTCAGCCATGACTGACCTTGCCGACATCTTGCAGCAACCAATGCCAGGTGTCATGGACGCCCATGATGCTGAGAATCGACACATCTGCCTGTCTGAAGACCCTTGAAACCCGATTATCACAAATTCGCAGATTGGACATAATTTTTGCGCTGCGTTCTGCTGGGACGGTGGACGCTGCAGACTGCCCAGCAGCGCTGCACCTGCAGAGAAGCTTGCTGGGGATCTGAGTCTGGGTTTCTTCTCGCACTTCATGATTGGTTTGGGCTGTGCGTCCATGCTTCAGTATGCTTCAGGTCTTCAAGCGGCTTCGGTTCCTGGGCTCCGGGCTTGATGGAGAGGTCGTTGGAATCCTGCGCACAACTCGGCTCGGACAGGGGGCGGGACAGGGACCAAGGACGAGCCTCGCAGCCATTCAGGAGGATCAGCAGCCAAACCAGGGTAAGCACCGGAAGACCCCAAGAAACCTGAAGGAGCTCGCTTTTTGCGCACTGTTGACGCCTCTCTCCAGCTACCCATGCGGGGCCACAGCCGGGATCCCGGCCGCCCACTGAGACAGGTAGTGGCCCATGTGCGCATAGTAGAACCTTAGCACAAGCAGCTTATGCAGAACACGTCTTTGCCCTGGGTGGCTGGCAAATGCGTGTCACACGCGCACAAAGGCCACAATGGCACAATCCGAGCTGCGACAAGAGCTCCGGCAGCGGCAGAAGACTCCCCAGGCGGAGAGTCTGTCTTGTGATCCTAAGCTTATTGCAAGCATGTGCCTGTTCTGAGAAGGGCTGCACCACAGCAGTAAGAGCTTTGCAGCTGCTCACCAGCTCCCGATGACAGCTTGGAGAAGAAGGCAAGCACCTTGAAATGTCGAGGCAAGACCGCGCGCAGAGAACATGAAAACCTCAAAACCATCTTCAGCCTGCGCTCAACAAGTAACAAGCCCCGTGCGGTGTTGAAGCCCAGATCTCGACCTAGTAAATACGACCGGTTGAACAGTGCTGCTGTGTATACCCGCGCCGCGAGCCTTTCGCCAAATGAAAATATTCACGATGCTTGATGGTGCGACCTCCATGGAGGAACCATCTCAGGAACGCTTACCTTGAAGCCTTCCTCCCACTCTGACAAGCAAGAGCTGCTACAGGTCTTTTCTGCGATGCACTGCTACAGACTTCTTTGTGAAAGAGTGCAGATGGACGCGTGCCTCCTCCGCGCAGGACGAAATCCATTCCCGCGAAGATGTCCTCGCTTGTGCTGCCGACCGAGACTAGTTCGTGCGTGTGCACACGCAGCATAGCCCTGCGCCAGGTTGGGCAATCGGGTTGGTAGGAGACAAATCAATCATTCCGTGAGAAGCTTTTTTCAGGCTTTCGTTTTCTCGAAGAATCCGCTTCTGCCTTGAGTGTTCCTGCTTTGTCATGGTCGTGGTTGCTTGCCTCGCGACGCCCTGCTTCATGACTTCTGCTAGAATGAGCAACACAACCTCAAGAATCAAATGCAGGAGCTCGGCATACTACATTGGGAGTGTAGGGCGAGTGCCACTCAGTCCTCTGACAGATTCAGTGTCTTCGTCGCCTTGGACACTCCTCCTTGCTGCATCATGTACTCCTGGCCATTGCACGCAGTGGGCACTACACTTCTGGGTTCCTCTCCTGTGCTCCGGAGGCGGACCTCAAGGCCTGTACGTAACCTGCTTGATGTAACAGACAAGGCTTGATATTGGTGACAGCCTTGTTCATGATGTCTGGATGGCCATAGTGCATCCGTGCCTGCGAGGGACATTGACATTGTTTCATCTACTGTAGGACTGTAGGACGTGACACGCTGGCCTCACGGCCTGAAAGGATGGTTGGTGCGTCGGGATTGGTGCAGAAGCAAGGATGCAGCCTTTCTCACACCATTGGCCTTGTGCACGTCGGTGAATGTATCTCGCTGCATGGTTCGGGAGTCTTCTGTACAAGCCTGTAGCACATGGACTCGCCTAACAGCAGTCAGCATGTTACTGACCACTGTCAGGGCTGTGTGAGAAGGCGACTCATGCCACTGCTCAGCAACTTTCTCTCGCACAGTTCGGGATCGAAAGATGCTAGCGGAGCAGACCATCCGGCATCGATCCTGTCTACGTCACTTCGTGGAACAGACTGCTCATTGTCGAACAATGACGATTTTGTCTCCTAAACTGGCCGAAGTTTCCAGAATCATACTGTCCCATCCACGAAACACATGCACTGGCCACATTGGACCGACAACAAGAAACAGCTAATGTCACCTACAAGAGCCACCGATGAATCCGCGTTAGTTTCTAGCTTCGTTGTGAATCGCTGCAACCTCATTCTCCGGCTGCTCACCGCAAACCCTAACCCTCCATGCACAAGCTGCTCAAAGCTATCGCTCGTCTTGCCTCTCCCGCCGACTGGGAAGCATGTTCAGTAGATCAGCTCACGCTTTCATGCGATGGATTTATGCATATCCATGTGGTTCGAGGGAACAGTATGTCATTATTGCATCCGGGAATCTTAATGGTTAAAAACATGTTCATGTCCAAGAACTAGTCGGCGAATGCTGGCCTACCCGCAGAGGCCCGGCGTTCGAGGCCTGGAAATCGCGCATGTCTATGTCTCTCAAGCCCCCTAAGGGCCCCCCATTCTTTGGGGTTTTCGGGGGAGGCAACAGTCAGCTCGGGTAAGGTTCCACATGTCTCTCTCTCTCTCTCTCTCTCTCTCTCTCTACCGGGCATGTCTCTCACTCTCTCTCTCGCTCTCTTGCTTGCATGGGGTCCTGTCTCTCTCTCGCTCTCTCTGTCTCTCTCCCTGTCTCTTACTCTGAGCTGCACGGAGGGCTCAGGACGTCTCCTGCTGTTCCTAGTTGGGTTCTGCAACAGCTTCTGCATGTTGCGTTCGGGCCCCCGGCTTCTCATCATCTCGACCACCTCGTGCAGACTCCAAGCTTACATCAATCCAGAGCAGCCCTGGACTTGCACCGGTACTCGGTGCTGCGGTGTTCTAAGCCATCACACCACACAGTGACACTTGCCCATGCCACTTCCAGCAAACAAGCATCAACACGAACTTGAAAGGACACTCTTAGCACCCTGCAGCTCGCCCTCCAGGAGTGTGCAAAGTGCCTGCCTGTATCGACCACAAGTGCGGCATGTAACAGCTCACAGCAGGTCTCACCTCACTTGCAAAACGCTCGACCTTCTTATGTAGATCGTGGGCTTCGAGGCAGTCTTCTATGGATTTGCCGAGGTCACCTCAAGCAGCCGGAAGCTGCGTGAACGAACGACAACGTGTGTCCAGGGTTCGCAAGCGGGATTTACTGCTCTTTGCCTGGGCTTCCCAACCGCACTGCACCCGCGACCATGCCAGGCTGCCCAAGAGGTTGGCCCCGGCAGGACCCACGAGGCAACCTGTCCTGAGAGTCTCATCTGAGGGGTCAAACATGTCATGGCCGTTGAGATCAACATCGAACGTGTCCCCCAAGAAGCAGCTGCTTCAGCTTTGTGCTGGCTTGCCTTGAAGATTAGAAGGATGGTCAGCCCTCCGGCTTGTGGCTTCTGTGATGACAACCATGTTGCCCGCCGCATATCCTCCCCTTCAACATCGTCAAGCCGGGAGCTAGGAAGTTTCAACATGCAGTAGCCATTGACCGAAAAGTGCCGTTTTCAGCAACAGCTACACATTGCACAACCTCCACCTGCAGCAAACTCTAGCAAAGCGAAACAGTGTCTGGGGCCCCGACTGCTCGCGAATTTCCTGGCACCACGCACAATGCGTCTCCCCGCAACCTTCACCCCTACTTGTTGTGATGCTATTTGTGGCCAAGCACTTTGAGGCGGTCGTTTGTGAAGCATCCGCGTTCTCCGTGCTCCACTGTCCCGCCTTCGACTCAAGGAACTTCTTCAATGAGGCTTTGGCATCCTCACATGTAGCATGAGACGGGCATGCATGCGGATGTGGAAGCGAATGACACGGGTGTGATCTCTCCATGTCATGCAGGATCTCTCTCGAGAAATCTCAACGCCGATCCGGCTCTGGCATGATGCCCACTCCACTGGTCCAGTCCAATCATGACGGCTTGTAACCGTTTCGAGGTCTCGACATCCAGAGCCAGGAGTGCCACGCCCTGATTGCGACAAAGGACGGCGCCAGCCTTGCACAGCAAGCTGCCAAGCAAGCCGACTTTCCATGGGAAACACTCCTCTTTTTTGAACACATCCTCATATTGCTGTTCCTAGTTTCGTTCGCTCCTTTACTGTTGTTTCAATGAATTCCACGCATTCGTTTCTCCTGTGTGCTATTGCAAAGTCATGAAGCCAATGGCGACAGAGCCATACTATAGTGACTATATGGTGCTAGTGTTAGCGGTCGCCGACGGCCCCGCTCCACGCCGTTGCCGAAAACCGAAAAATCCGGGAGGAATTGCAAACTAAGGAAATCACAAAAAAGCATCCAAACCCAACAACAGATAATCAACACCAAAATTAAAATGCCAAGTTTTTGAGGAGATCCAAGCCAGCCCAAACAAACAATCACACAAAAAGCAATCAAACGACCGCAAGCGAGTGCATGTTTTCTGGCGAGTGGTAGTCTAACTACGCGTTGACGGAGCACTCCGGGCCGCTGGTGAGGGCGAACTAAAACCAAAAGAACCAACATCCCAGACGAAATTCAAAAGCAAAGAAACCAAAATAGCCAAAGACACCTTTTGGTTTCTTTGGTTTGGGGTTTCGTCTGGGATTTTGTTGCTTTTGGTGTTGATTTCTTTGGGTTGCTTGGTTTCGGGCATTGGGGGGCGGAGTCACTTCGCTGGCCCGTCTAAGGCTATCAAGCAGAACATGACGGCGAGAATGGTGGATGTGATCAGCTCACGCTCAGACATGACACACCGCGCTCCCGCTCGCTCCCGCGGCACTTCGCCAAGAAGAAACCCTGACAGCTCCAACTTGGCGCTCCGGAGCAGCTCAATCGCGGTGGAAGCTTTGGTGATGGATTAAAGTTCTAAAGTATGCACGATGTCCCGATATCGGAAACTTCGAAAGGACGCCTCGAAGTCTCACAAACAAACTGAATTCAGCATGCCGCTCTCTCCTACGTCGGTGTACTGGTACCCCGAAAAGACTTGACTAGTCACTGCCCATAGTCAGTGACTCTGCATACAGTCTGAGTGCGCTGCTGGTGTGCGAAGTGTTTTGGTACGTTGGCGAATCAGCTCGGCATGTTTGTATGCACCTGCGCTGAAGCCATTCATCCAAAACTTGTCTCCCGGTTGCCGACAGCAGGTGCAAAAAGAAGCCTGATATCAATCTGAGCCATCGACTTAGTGCGCCTGCCTCAGACAGACTTTTCTTTTCAATAGACATGGACTGTCTGTAAGGTGCAGTTCTTTGAGCAAGCAGTAGGTAGCATCGCACAGGCGCGGACTCAAGCAAGCATTCGGGAAGAGACTGCCCCGGGGCCTGATTGCCGCAGTTGCCCCGAGAGACCCCGATGGCAGCGAACAGACTGGCCTCACTTGTCGCTCGGGTGGGCTGGGTTGGCAACTTCAAGTTTTGCAAACCTTTCGGGGTCTGGACGCCACATGGAGTATTCTCGAGTGGCTCTGGAAGAGCCTCGCTTGCAGGACGCTTGCAGATGCAAGTCCATTCCATGCAGAGGGCACTACCTTTCATGCGGATCTATAAGTTGCTGGTCGTGCCTCATCCTCATGGCTTTCGCAGGAGCATGCCTCAACGTGTTATGCAGTCACTTTTCGGACAACTCCGGGAGAGGTGCACCGGAATGGAATGCCACATCAAAAGTCCAATTTTCCAGAATATAGTAAGTTCAAGAGCTATAGCAGTTGCTCTTGCATGTTGCAAAGGGGGATGCCATTTCTAGATGATTTGCATCGAGTTGTTGCCCAACCACCAGGGCCACAGGATCTCGCTACTACAACAGCTGAAGCGGCGAGGATTACCAACGAGGGAGGCTGTCGTCCTCACCAGAGTGTCTACCAGCACATCATCATTAGCATCACCGCCGATACTTGGTACTAGGTACCGGAGTTGTTCCGCACACTGGAATGGATGGACAAGACGGGCTGATGTTGCAGTCTCTGGGTGGTTCGCAGAGCCAGCGCCCAACAGTGTGGTGGCTTCCTCAAAGGCCTGCATAGCAAGGCAAGGTGTGCCAGGTGCCAAGTTAAGCACAAGCCAGAAGTCCAATGCTGCAGAAGCAGGATAAGGAAATTCGCTTGGCCCTTGGTGCCTCCAAAGCACTTTTGTGGTCGCCACGGTCGGCTCTGGCAAAGGCCAAGTTCAGCCTGCGAGTTTTGAACAAACCATCGCTTTTCGTATCGCACTGTTTTGCTACTCAAGCGGCCCTGTGATCCTAGGCCAACAGGGTCGCGGCAGTAGCACGACACCATCAGCCCCGAACAAGCTGCCAGTGCCTTTCACAGGATGGTATTGCATGCTGATATTGGCTCAAGCGGCAAATGCATTCCTGAGGCGCAAGGCATTCCCGAATGCGCTTCGCCTGCAAGACAAGAACAGCACCGGCATGGATAAGCTAGGTTGGCAGTTCGCAGCATTTCTGGGGCTGGGCCATGCCTCGGCCAAGGCCTCGAGTCCGCCATCCAGGTCCCCACGCATCCGAAGGATGATGCCTCCCGTGCATCAGCATGAGCCCCGGATGTGCAAGGATTCTCCGATCCAAGGCCGAAGCCCAAGTTGCGAAGCAACATAGCCTTAGCAAGCAAGACTGCTTCAAGGAGCCATGCGCAGCTAGCAAATGCGAAGAACCCGCCCCCCCCTTATTCGCGATGTCAGCAATTGCCATGACGAACCCACAGAACTTTGCCAGCACTTTCAACTCCGAGTACAACGACAGCAAGAAGAATGAGCATGCAAGCTTCTTCAAACTCTAATTAAATACCAGGCTCGAGATATACTCTTGGAACACTTACCAATTCGCAGGTCCACTTCCGGAGGGTACCAAGTGTGGATTCTGCACACCAAGCTGCTCCCTCTGCGCTCTCGATGCTTCGGTTAACGCGGCGAATGCGCAGCCTGAGTACAGTCGAATCAACTTTGACGGCCGAGCCGGTTCAACTTGCAATTCATGGCACCCATGATATGCCGACGTCAAGTCTTGAGGTGCATCAAGTGTCTGCTGTTCTGCACCATCAAACACTCAAACTCCCCGTCTTGATCTCCAAGGAACGCTTCCTGCAGCGCATCTGCAGCTCCTAGATATGCATTTTGCGGTTGGGCTGGGTCCCTCAGAGACTCATGCGAGTCTAGAGTCTAAAGGAGTCTATCTCACAATTTACTGCACGCGGAAGCGATTGAAAAGCCGCGGCGGGCTGGAACACTGGCAAAACCTAGCCGACTTGAATGCTTTAGGCCTCCATTTCGCACCGTTTGTTGCCAAAACAAATCCTGGATTTTGGAAGGAGATGGAGTCAGAGACCCACGAGATTAGCCAGCCTGGCACACTGAATGGGCAGTGTGATGGAAATGGCCACATCTGCAACTTCCGTTCCCTATTTCCTGTGCACATCCGAAGCAGCCCGATATGATATACACACCTATTAGCTGAACCCGTTGGTAAGAGAAGGTCCTGTGGCATCACCAGCACTCCATCGCACTGCCTGAAGACTTGTGCCAGAAGTGGGTCTGACTTTCGAAACATGCTCTCAGAAACATCACTCTGAGTCACAAGACCTACACGCACACCTCTAGCTTGCAGGGACAGAGTGTTGGCATGCGCTCCGGTGCATTAGCAGCGGACGCCGATAGACTCGAGGAGTTGGATGCCAGTGGCTGTTTCCTCGGTGAGATTGGTCTCAAATTCATGCAGAGTCTATTCATGTCTGCTCTGTCCATCCAGTCATATGTCAAGCCATGGTGGTGGCACTATCTGGGTTTTCAGCAAACATCAGCAAACAAAGCGGTGAGATGCAATCCCACTGTAGCCAAGCTTCGAGGGTACCCATCTGCTCATGTGCTCTCCTGGTGGCCTCGTATGACCTAGTGCGGGTGACGGGAAGTGTTTTTTTGCAAAATTATCGTGCACAGCTGGCGAAGCTAAACCCATTAATGTCCGACCTGGCCCTAATTTCAATTTCGCTGGACCCGAGATCGAACTCTACGACCTTGAGCTGCTCCGGAGGTAGGGGCATGCTGAATTGCTGCACGTGACATAGCCCCGAATGGCAACAGAATTCAACGCGATCATTGACGGAATGTGGCTAAACCAGCTAATCTCAGCCAAACTCCATCCAATGCAGATCGAGTCACTGCCGGAGCTCCGTGCAACGGCGGCCGGGGCCAGTGCCGGGGCTGCTCAGCAGTGCACCTCTTGAAGACATGGCAACACCGAGCCAGTCAGTTGATGTAGTAAAATATTTGCATGCCTTCGGACAAAAGTGGCTGTGCCAATATTGCAAAGTGGCTTCGGTCGCCGCTCAAGGCCAGTTGCAAGCCATCCTGATTTCCATCGCATGGCAAAAAGCCAGCTGATCTCCCCTCATTGCGGCAATGGCGGTGCTGTGGTTCATGTCCCGAGCCAAGGAGGGCCAAGGCACTTGCAGCAAGCTTTCGGCCTTCTGGTGCAGCGAGACCTGCCGAAGCCCAGGATCGATTAAAGCGCTGGCTTCGGTTTCTTTTCTCCCCACCTCCCGCAGCAGCCAACCTACGGCATCGCAGGCCCATGCAGGTGAAGAATCTTCTGCAAGCGAACCTGAACAGCCGCTCAAGGCTTGCATGATGCTTCAAGAACGTCTAGTCGAGTGCAGATTTAACCCTTCCCTTGCCGAGCCTTCCAGCAGCTTCCGGCGTAGCCAGCCTTCTGCCAGTGTGCCCACCCAGCAGCGGAGGCGCCTGCGACAGAAAATGAAACACACTTCACCGCCCAAAAGGCCAGCTCCAAGCGTATGCTGCCGTAGAAACAACCCCGCCTGTGCAGTGCTTGGTCCAAGTTCCTTAGACGCCTAATTCTTCCCGGCACTTTCGACTGATTCCGGGAGCTTCATCTTGCTGAGAAACTGATGGCATCTACCAGTGGCCAGTGGTGCAATGGAATGTAGAATCTGATCATCTGATAGTCCAAGTCACAAGCCTGCCCAGCTTTGCCACTCCGGTGTGCAGCCCCCTTCTGAAACCACCTTCCCAAGCTCCTGGACCTGGCGGTGACAGAAAGGCGGAGGGGGTCGACCAATCTCCTTCTGCACAGCCAAAAACAAAAGAAGGACGGATCCCGGCCCTTCCCCCGCGCGCAAGCGCCCTGGCCCTGGTCCGACCTACCGACCCACCCACCTACCTCCCTGCCTATCGGACCTACCGGACTATCTATCTATCTATCACACAGACACATGCACAACTGCACAAAGACGGTTTTCCGGAGGTCATGTTTCAATGAAAACCTCCGAGGATCCTCGAGAGGCTGGCACTACTCACCGAGCCGGCGAAGCAAGAATTCCGAGAAACGAAACAACAGACAACAGGTACATAGTGGGGACATAGCGCAATGTGACAACATAGTGGTGCCTGCTGCGGAGAAGCCAGCAGCCTCACTTCGAGGCCCTCTTTCTCGAGGGACGTGGCCAATTTCAGCCTGCAGTTCGAGCCTTCCATGGACTCGGGAACTCGGGCCAGTTTCTCGATGCATCGTCGCTTGTTTGAGCCAAGCTGCTCCGAGAGGCACGAGCTGGATCCTTTCAACAGCATTGACATCGCGGGGCAATCGTTTGGACTTTGGACATGTCGCTTGCCCCGGGCGAAGACCAAACATCGCTCGCCACACATCAATCAGATCATCAGCCAGTCAATCACATACAGAAGCCGTCCTGTGAAGGAGGCGATGTCACAAGGCGGCAGAAGCAGCCACACGCGGCCAATGCGTCGCATCCGACTTGCCTGGGCTGCTTCGCCCGTTAACAGTTGTTGTGGGGAGCGGGGGCTGATACGCCGACTCGTAGTCTGATCGGCCGGGGAGGAGGCCGTTTCGGTGTTTCGCATGTTGCCGGAGAAGCTGTGCAGCCTCGAAAGTTGTTGCAGCGCCAGCTAACGGCGGGACACTGCCCGCATGTCATGACAGTGCACGCCGGAACAGACTCAACTGATGTCTGCTCTGCCGACAAATCGCACCAAGAGCCAAGTGGCCACACGTAGGTGCTGCCCATCTGCAAGCCCGCATCTTCACAGTGGGACTTCAAAGCGTCGACCTGGAGAAGCCCAGATTCGGTCTGGAACGCTAGGCTCTGTCAGGCCAAGGGAAATGAGGCGTCGGCGAGGTCACAGAGCGAGGCAGTAGAAGCACAGCACCTCTGATTCCCCACCACAAAATCCAAAAAAGAAAGGCAAGAAGCGTCCATCCTGACAGGACGGTGCCCATTAGCCAGGGGCTAGCCAAGGCGCAAGTAGTGAGTAGCAGGACCAGTGTCTTCTCCGCCTACAGGCTGACGATACAGATGCTTCGGAAGCGAGTTTCGGCGCATCAGTGCATGACGTCAACTTGCAATGTCGGCAAGCGCGCACCAAATGCCATAATTGTGGTGTACTGCCTGCCGCTGACTTTCTGTTGTCTGCCCCAGCCTTCTAGCAGCGAGACGTAGGAGGCTGCAGCCTCGCCACCCTGGTCATGTGAACGGAGCAGGGGGGCCCGGGCTGCACTGGAAGGGGTGGTGGCGAGATGTGCGGACCTGGCGTGTGGCGTCGTCGATTCGTTGCTTGATCTGGGCCTGCGCATCCTCGTCAGACAGAGGGTTTTCGTTACACATAGGAGTATCGCAGCCCAGGTCCAGGGGAGCCTGGAGGCTGGAACTCGCAGGGAGCCCCTGAGATTCGAGCTCCTTGGGCAAAGAACCGTGTCGGACCATTGCTTTTTCTAGCACTTCTAGGATGTTCAGTGGTCCATAGCTCACTGCTCTGGAGTGGTGAAATGAAGGCGGCAAGAGAACCCCCAGCATGACCTGCGCTCCTGGACGAACGAGCAAAGGTAGAGGACGCTCACTCCCAGATCTTCCGGGCTCCTTCTATCCACATCCGGGCGCGTTCAGGCCAGTAGATGCTTTTATCTGGTTTGGCCAAGGCTCGCATGCCGTCGACCGCAGGCCTCAGGAGCCTGACATCCCCATAAAGAAACACTGGCTGCAGTGCATCTGCATCCCGCGTCTTTCTGTCTATTCGGGGAGTACTGCATTTGGGATGCACGCTTCGACGGCTTCTCGCAGATTTCCCAGTTGCGCACATGCCCCGCCCTGAAGCCTGACTGTTTCCTTGCTGAAGCCGCTTCTCCAGTTCAGCTACCTGCAGCCAAATACGAAACCACGCAAGCTCGTACATGCACCGGTGCTGCACTCGAGCAGCGCCTTTTCTTTCTCCGATTGCAGCTGCTGCTCCAACACCAGCACCTGCAGAGTTGAAAGCAGCCTTTGGATGTCTTTGGCCTTAGCCACCGGATCCGCCTTCGACTGCTCCTGCTGAAGCAGCACTGCATATGGATCCGGGACATCCTCAGAAGTCATAGGATGACTCTGCAGAATCTGCAGAGCTTGTCTTGCCCGGCAAGGAGCTCCTAGAACGCCTATGGAAAACATGATTCTGCCCAATATGCCAGGTGTAGTCAGTGTGGTCTAAATCAGAACATTGTTGGCCAGCCTCGTTGCTTTGCTGCGGCTGCGGAGGTGGTCCGCTTTCTGAAACATGTACGTGTACGAACTGTGCATACTCTCGTCTGAAGTGACGAACACCTCATGTGCAAAAGCTATCTTTGCAGGGTTTGGTTGCCGCGGCTGCGGTCTTGGAAATGTCTGCTGTCTTTGATTGCTGACTTCTTCTTACGGGCATGACATAGACATAGCTGTCAGAATCTGAGCTGCGTGGCTAACACTTTTTGGATTTGGGCACCGGATGCCAGCATACCTGCAACGGTTTCGCTTGATTTGTGCTGTGCGCACGACGACTCATGACACTGGCACGACCACCAGTTGAGAGGAACTCCAGGACGCAGTGCTCGAGCAACCACTTCACCGTTTCACTTGAGCGTCTTCATGGTGCTTGTGTGGCTGGGTGTTTATTGTTGAGGAAGTGGCGTTTTTGGTAGACGTATACCGGTATTTCGTCGCACTTTCAGTTCTACGTTGCGACTCCCCAGCAAGCGCCGCAGCGACTCGGAACATTGAGTCGCGGTTTTGCCTCTTGGCAGATTCTTCGGATTTGGAGTTTGAAAGCTGCGAGAGTCATAATGAATCGCCAGCCTCCAACAATGATCTGTTGAACGCAAAGGCTATACAAGTACAAGAACAGCAAGTTACGCTGCCCCTGGGCTCTGCACGTGCTGCTCCATGGATGTTTGTGGGACTTTCGGTGCTGAAGGCTTCCACAATTCTGCCTGCACTTTTTTGGAGCGCCAGACTGCCACATCTGTCACAAACACGTGCCTCATCTTCAGTCCGCCGCGGAGCGAGCTCGTCAAGCTGGGCCTTCTTCCGCCCAAACTTTGCAGAGAACACACAAACCGAGACGAACAAACCGAGATCTCAGATGTGTGCGTGTGTGTATGTGTGTTGGTGTGGGTGTTTGGGCATTGGACAAAACGCAGGCCTGTGCAAACAAACAGCACATCATAGGAATGCTTCAAAATCGACACATCAAACACATAGCTAAATAATCGAACAAAGCGTGTAAAACAACACAAGCAACCAACTACACAACTGCATGAACATGCATACTGTATGTATGTATAGATGCCAATGTAATCCTCCGTCGCAGTGCCCAGGCGTGAAAAAAGTTCATCCGTGGTTTGGCATGCCAGCGCACGGCCACTAGCGGATTGGAGGCCTCGTGTCTGGATACGTCAGCTGACCAAGGTCTGGTGTCTGGGAGCGACCATGTGAGCTTTGATTCGAAGAACAACACTCCGAGTCGATCCACCCCAAAAGTCTCGTCACCTGAGATTGCTCGCTGTGCCTGAGCATTACAAGGCTGCACGATCGCACAGCAACAGCAGCCGCCGAAGCAATAAGCACGCATCAACCGGTCTGGTGCAAGCAGGGTTGTACCATAGCCCGCAGAACGGCACGTTTCAATGTGTGCCCATGCGCCTGCACACAGGCTTGATTGGCCTGAAGCTTGACCTTTACCTTGAAGACTGGGCTTGTGCACAACCCAGCCACCTGGCAGAAATCGAAGCAGAAGGATGGAGTGGTGCAGCACTCCAACGCGGCGCCTGGCCATCTTCCCCTTGCTGGCTTGATGGCTCCACTGCCTGGAGGATGTTCTCGTACACGATGTAGCTGGACTGAGCAACCGCCCTGGCCTTTTCCGGCTGGGGCAGCGCGTGGTCCAGCGCCTGATTACTCAAGACATGACTTCTAACAATGCTTGATTGTACGTGCCACGGCCAATGCTCGAAGCTGAAGTCAAACATTGTGGCATATCCCGGCCTTCCTCTGTTCTTCCAGCTGCTTCTGGAAACTTGATGCCTGAAGGCTGCCCAGCGGCTCTATTCTGAGGCTTGGCGTTTGTTTCAACACCGAGGCTGTGCCTTTTCGGTCTCTTCTTGCAGCCGGCGCTCCAACTGTACTACCTGCATACATACAGGACATGTGTTCTTGTGAAAAATGTGAACGATCAACCATGCAATCTTTAGCTGGACGCTTTCGACGTCCTTCGAGACTGGCTGCCACTGGCTGGATGCAAAATTGCTTCCGCCTTGTCCTTTTCCTGTTGGAGCAGCGCGGGGTCCAACGCCTGAAACTTCAAAACATCTTGATTCATCTTTTCCCGAGTGTACAAATTAGTGCTACAAGCTGAGATGAAATCGTGTCATATCCCGGCCTTGCTCTTTTCTTCCAGTTGCTTCTGCAAACTTGCTGCCTGGAGGCTGCGGCTCTTTGCTAAGACTTGGCATATGTTTCAAGCGTCTCGCGCGTCTGTTGATCCTGCTGTGCGAAGTGCCGTGCGCAGGGCGTTTCTGAAGAAATGAAGTCGCCGAAAAGGACATCAAAGTTCAAGAGCCAATCCACTGCTATGTTCACCACCGCTGTGCCTTCCCGCTCTCTTCTTGCAGGAGTCGCTCCAACTGCACTACCTGCACACATATATCTTGTAATTTCTGTTACTGGTAGCTCCTGTTCCCTACAGGACCGTTTCGGGGTCCTTCGAAAATGGCAGGCTGGATTCACGATTGCATTCGCCTTGTCCTTTTCCTGTTGGAGCAGCGCGGGGTCCAACGCCTGAAGGCTGAAAAGATGAGCAGAATTTACAACCAGCGTCAGCTGTGGTGGACTCTTGCTGCAAGAACGTCGCCTTCTTAATATCTGCTTTTTGTGGGCTGCTATTTACAGCCGCAGGACTGTGGGTGCCTTGTCTTTTTCCTCGCGCAGACGGCGCTCCAGTTCAGCCGCCTGAGCTGCTCAAGATCAAAGTGGATCGCCCGTGCTTTTTTTACATCGCAACTCTGCTTGCGAGCGCCTGCTCCTTCTCCTTCCCAGCCTGCTCCAGGTCAACCTGCCGGCCATCCACCGAGCATAGAACGTTGAGAAAACGCTCAAGCTACCATGATGCAGCAACAGAGAAACGAGCGGTTGACCACCGAACTGTCGAAGACATCACTACGGCTGGGGAGGTAAGGCTGTGCGCGGGTCCGAAAGACATTGGTGACTGGAGCAGTTGCGTGGACTCTACACTTGTAAAATCTTGTAAAACACCGAAAACACTGCTCGCAGTCGCAGTGCCCTGTGGCATTAAATTGAGCGTCGGTGCGAAGCGAAACGAAAACGAAAACACAACGAGGAGTCTTCTGTGTGCAAGTCTCGTTTTGTGATCGGCTTCGCACTTTGGATCTGAGTTCTGCATCAACTTTGCCGAGATAAGGCTTCACCGCAGGTCGACTCGGCATGCTTTGACGGACAAAACGCACCAGGGGGCTGCACGTGGCCGCGTCTGAGGCGCGCTTTTAGACTTCAGCCGACATGGGGCCTACAAGCAGGCATGCACTGGAGAAGGGATCTACAAGCTGCACTGCGTACTCATGGGCGTTTCAACAACATTACTTTTACCGCTTACCGTGTCGAACCGACACCCAACCGAACCGAACCGTACGATATCCCAAGCACCGGACCGTACCGAACCGAACCATCCATCCACTCCCCCTCCTACTCCCCCCATCCACCCCACCCCCTCCCTCCATCCACCCCCTCCCTCCATCCTTCCTCCTCCCTATGCCCCCCTTCCATCCAGACCTCTCCATCCACCAACCCCCCCCCATCCACCCAGTTGGATGGATGGAGGGGGGGGGGGTGGTGTGGGTGTGGACGGAGGGGCGGTGGTGTGGGATAGAGGGGGTCGTGTGGATGGAGGGTGGGGTGGCGTGTGGATGGATGGCTGGAGGGGGTGGTGTGGATGGAGGTGGTGGATGGAGGCGGTGTGGATGGATGTGGTGTGGGTGTGGATGGAGGGGCGGTGGTGTGGGATGAAGTGTATGGAGGGGTCGTGCTACCTCACACCAGGACTCGCGGGAACGCAGAAACCTCCTATCCGGTCCTACCCAGAATTCTTGATGCGATGTCGACTGTCGAAACCAGCGGCTAACGGCTAGCGGACCGGAGAAGTGCGGGTCACCGGACGAAAACATCGCGTCTCTAACTCCAGGCCTTGGCAGCTTGCAGGCGCTGCTGAAGGTCTGCCACTTCTTTTGCTGCGCATTGTGCCTGCTTCGCGGGAGATGCTCGGCACGTTGCTGCGTGTTGTTCTGGTACCAGCCGCAACTCAGCATCCGGAAGATGGGTGCACAAAGACACAGCTGATTTGCACCGACCCCTTACCGCAGCAGTCTCCTGGTAAAGCTGCTGCTGCAAGTCAGCATTTTCTTGGATGAGCTGCTTTGCCTGCAGAGACGGGCATGAGCATAGCATACTGCATCATACCGCAGTCAAGCCGCAAAGCTTGCCTTGTCAGACTCCTCTTTCAGTCTCTTCTCGAGATCAGCTGCTTCGTGCGAGCTCTTGGCAACCTGCACACATCGGAATTCTGGGCCCTGCAGAAGAGCGGCCTGCAGGCCTGTCCATGAAGAGCGCAAATGCGAGCGGAGGTCCGCTCGACCTCCTGCAAACCGAAATACACGACTGGTCTCAGCAAAGTCAGCACAGCTGCCTCGTCTGCCTTCAACTGTCACTCGGATCTCTGCAGGATAGCTACAGGTGCAAAGGGCCGCTTTTGGTTGCTTGCCACTCTTCTTCGGCCAGGGCTGCAGGCTAGCTTTTGAAGCTTTCACGTTTTCTCGCCTCCCGGGCATCAGCGCGGGCTTGCTGCAGCTGTTCCTGCAGGGACAAGGTGGTTGTTAAGGGTGTGTCTGGCTGCTTCCCAGCCTCGAGAGCATTGATGTGCGCTTCGGACCTGTCTGAACCCCAGGAGTGATGCAGCTGGGTAAGGTTGCGGCAATCAGAATTCTGGACGAGCAGCGAGGAAGCGTTGGACTTCTCGCGCTCCGCCACCGTTTCCACCATGAGCTGGAGCTCTTTGTTTTCTTTCCTTGCATGCACGAAAGAGAACATTTCAAGGAAAGAAAGGTGCTATAATAGGTCGACCAAGGCACCACAGGTCGGAACAGCGGGTCTCGCTGGCCTGAAGAACGGGGACGCTCGCAGACGACGCGTTCCACGCGGTGCCGAAAGCTGCGGGTTCCGGCCCGCAGCTGGTTGTTCTCTGCTTCCGCTCTGGTCTCCGCATCCACGGTGGCCCAAGTCTGAACCTTACGACGAAGGGACCATGCATGCTGTTTCATGCTACTCGGTACTGGCTCAAAGCTATGAATGCACTGAGTGTCGAGAAAGTCTTCGAGACCGAAGCTCTCGAACCCCAACAAGAGTGCCTCCAACTTCTGGGCCAACTCGTAAACGTTCGCCTCCAGCGCCTCCAGCATTGCGTGATCCCCGCTTTGTGCTCCCTCGTAGCCCACACAGATTCGGGAGTAACGCCCCCTGTGCCTTGCCTGCACCCTATACATCTCTTCAAGATGCGGTGTCTGCACCTCCACAAGAACAGGTGCAAGGCATGCATTCTGCAACGAACTTATATTGGCACCCGTTGTCAGATCTCGCCGACTTTCGTGCGAAGTAGTATGCCAACTGATTGAGTTTCTCTGGCGAGATCTCTACCCTGTCGCAGGCTAGCCTCTTTGCTGTCAACTTCCACTTGCCTCAGCCGGAATGGGGAACAGCGAAAGTTGGTCGCATCACCCCCAAGTTTTCGGCTTTGCAGCGAAGGCTTGAAGCGCTTCCTGAACAGCTCACATTCGAGAAACGATGGCATGGCAGCGTGATGCCGCTTCATGCTAGGCCCCGCTAGGCACCTGGAGCTTGACGGTCTTGGCTTTCTCTGCGCTTAACTCCTTCCGCCGGACTCGAGCTGACAAGTTGGGGACAGGCACTGGGCAGCCCCCCGGTGTGTCCTCTTCGAAAGCAGGCTGGAGCTTCTCCAGGTCACCTTTCTCTCCAGTTGCAACAGACGGACATTCAAACCAAGAGAGTTCGGCTGGCCACATCCAACAGCCCAACTTCAAGAGTCCGGGAGCAGAGAGTGAAACAATTGGGTTCCCCACTTCTTGCAGCTGCCAATGCTGTCGAGAGCTCCGCCGTTTCAGTGGACTTGGCGTGCAGCTGTGCTGCAAGCCGTGCCATCTGCTCAGCAGCAGCGCCTCGGGAGGATGCAGATCCGTTTTCTCCCAGAGCTACTGGATGTGCATCTCACCCTCACTATGTCTAACCTCCGATCTTGACGTCCTGCTCCTCGGCCCCAAAGCTTCTAAAGCCCAGGGCACGCTGCTCCTCGCTGAGGCGTTGCTCAAAGTCGGCCTGGCAGGCAGGGCGAAGACTTTAGGAGTTTCCGGGGTGCTCTCAAGCCACCCCTAAACCCGAAGCAGGGCCTTGAGCTCGGCGGCCTTGGCAACGATCTGCCGATCCTCGAAAATTGAAAAGCCAGCGGACGTCCATGTGCCGTCTCTTCGCCACGTCGGGTGGAGCCTCGGCCTCTCCACGAGCTTCGGCACTGCGTTGGGCAGCCAATAACTGCGCCTGACAAAACAAAAATCACGAACAAAAAAGAGCCCCTTCTGCTTGACTGCCCGTGGCGGCCTCCAAGTCCACCACTTGCCGTCTGGCCGCCCCAAGATCCTGGAGAAGCAATCTGAGAACAACTTATCATGGGTGACAATGTCTGTAGGCATGGGCTGTGCCGTCTAGCCGAGGCTCTGTAGCGAGAGCCGCACACCTACAGCTGCAAACGAGACGCACGGGGATCGCAGACTGAATGCAAGCGCTTTTCGGCAGAGCTGCTGCTGGGAAAGCCGGCTGCTGTTGACATGCTGTGCCTGCACACATGTGAAGCTTGGACCAAAAAGATCATTTCTTAATTGCCTCGAGCCGAGACCCCCAGCCTCCAGGTCAGCAATCTTTGCGTGAGCGTCCTGCAGGCTTGGGCTTGGGACGAAAGCGTCGCGACGGGGGCTTCTTCTCATGTTGTCTCCTTGAGCTGAGAAGCCGCTGATGCGCATTGATGCTCAAGCTCCTGCAGGGTTACACAGATTTCTCATTCGGCTCTGCGCGTGAGCACACAGAATGACACAGAACCTTCACTGTGGGCCTGCTCGCGCAAGCTGAGCTTGGCCTCCCACTCAGCTCGGGAAGATGCACTCTGGACCTCCTGGCGCATGGCGAAAGCTGGAAGGTTTGAAGGCACTCATCTTACGATAACCGCCCAAGGTTTTTTTTGCCAAGGCTCGGCACTCAGCATCGCGTGGTACTGCGATGCTTGGCGTTCAAACCTTGGGCTAGAACAATTGTTCAGCTACAGGCTGTTTGTCTTGAGAAAGTCGGATATTCTGCGCAACTTACATGATGAGCAACTGAGCAAGCCCCCCGGCGCACAAGACAGATAATGGTTGAGATCCAAGTTGCTCCCGTTGCTTTGACTCCAGGAGCAATTCCATTTCGGACGCGCGCTTTTGAACCTTGCATGGCAAGGACTTTGTTAAAGTTCTTGGATGTTTAAGCACACGCTGTGCAAGCGCAGAGCGAGAAAACGCACGCTCACCCTTAGGACCGAGTCAGAACCAGGTGTGCAAAGGCATCTTGTGGGAAGTTCAGCACCCAGGTCGTAGGGCTGAAAGCAGCATGTGCGGCGGGCGTATGTCTGTCATACACTCCCAGAATAAGGACAAGTGGCCGCCATGCGTTGCCTTACACAAGTGTGCCACTACATGGGCAAGTCAAAAGACATGGCTGCAATCTCTTTGCGTTGAGACGTCGGTCCTGCACTTGTGCGGGCATGGCTTTACCTTTGCCTGCCCCACAGACTCTCGCACATCATTAGGTATGCTGTTGTATACCCCCACAAGTCCTTGTATGTATATATACATACACATACATATATATATATGTACATACAGATAGATTACAATTGGAAACAAAAAATATACGTATTTTTTGGCTACGTATATGACAGTATATACATAAATCATATTAGGATGCATGTATTTATAAGTTCCAGAACTTCTGAGGCTTCCAAAGGCTCTCCGGGTTGCTCGGAAGTCGCCCTCAGCTGGGACTCGAGGTCGGCTGCTCGGGCGTGAGCCTGGGACTCGTGGCACTATTTACGCACATAATTAACAACATAGAGGCATATATGTCTATATATATATATATGTACAAAAATATAGACTTACATATATATATATATAGTACTCATGTTCATCATAAACGAAATCGAAACGCTAAACCACCCATCCCCCTGCATGGCTGTTGGCACTGTTGAAACGTAGCAGTCGCAACACATCACAATAACATCACGATCTGGAAGCAGCCTGGAACAGCAACAGTTCTGAGTAGTTGAATCCCAAGCGACTGTTGAGATCCCTCCCGTACAGCACTTGCACCAGGCTTAGAGTCGGCCACACCCACATGGATAGGGTGGGCTCGTAGGTATGTATTTACGCTCTACAGACTAATATCTGTATGTGGGATTCACGTCCGCTGGCTGCAGGATGGCGGCACGGGGCGCATCCTTGCTGAGCTCTGTGAGCCTCTGGCTGGTTCGAACTTTCAGACTTCCTCTGTACCTAATATACGCGCAAGAAAGGATCGATGCATGGCCACACCTGTTGCTGCTGCATTTGCCGTTCAATGTTGACAAAAGTCGATTCTCAGGCCTGCTTTCCAGCTGCTTCTCTCTGGCCCGGCTGGTGCGCAGCTGCTGGTCCGCAGTTTCCAACTGAGCCTGGACAAGGCCCAACTCAACGCCTCGAGATGTCGAGGAAGTCGGGAAGCCAAGAACCATAATGAGTACGACTGGTCGCGGCTGCATTGGAAGCTAAGTCTTCGACAGCCTGCCTGCCTGCCTTTTGACCCGAAACCCGGTTCAAGGCGCCAATCTCGAGCACAACACACGAAGCCATAATGTTGGAGACGGTGCTGCCTCGCGCTCTGCTGCTTTGGCCCAGGCGGCGGCAAGCTGCTGCTCGAGCTCCTTTTGTCCGGTCATCCGAGCATCACAGATAATGCATTTATTGGCTGCTTGCTCAGTACAGCACAGTACATTGATCATATTCTGTTGCCCACATATATACGCAGATGCGTGGATACATGGATACGCATATACATACATGTACCACCACCGCCACCGCCACCGCCACCGCCACCGCCACCGCCACCGCCACCACCACCACCACCACCAACGGTAGTGGTAGTGGTAGTGGTAGTCGTCGTGGTAGTAGTAGTAGTAGTAGTAGTAGTACTACTACTACTACGACTACTACTACTACTGCCACTGGCTGCTACTGCTACCTCTGCTGCCGTCGCTACTGCTACAATGACCGCTTCGGCTACAACTACGTGTACCTCTGCGACGACTACGACGACGACAACTACTACTCCTGCTTCTTCGCTTCTACTTCTACTACTTCAGATTCCAATTTGATTACTTCGTTTCCACTACGAGGACGGCAATGACGACTACAGTACTACCTCTTCTGGCACCGCAGCTGCGACTACGACTCTGCGACCGAAGGAAGGGTGGAGGCGGGGCGACATAGAAGAAGGTGCAACATTGCTTGCACCCAAAGAAAATTGGCATTTAGGACTAGCTTGGCTTCGAGAGTTGGGTTTTGGAAGCATGCAGCAGATGGAAAGCAACGAACAGAGCAGGAAGCAACACACCGACATCACCGAAATCAAAATCAAAAAACACATCACGACCACGACCACAGCCACCACAACAACAACAACATCATCATCATCAAAATCCTTCAAACTTGAAACAGGATCCCACAGCTGCAGCATGGCACCAACATTGCCTGTTCCCGCACGCTGAGCTTGCTCTCCAGCTCTGCCGCATAAGAACCCGCACTTCGGAGTTCTGCCTCCACATTGACCTCAAGCACCATGAAGGGGACACCGGGCAATGCTGCTGGCTTCTTCCGCTACGCAAAGCGAGACAAAAACCTCGCAGAATTGCAGAAACTCGGGCCGGGCCGGGCACCTTGTAGTGAGCCATCTGGCGCTCGTGCCTGTCCAAATAAAGGGGTCACGTCACAGACAGTTCTCGGACGCTTCCGGGGTTCTCACCGCCATGGGGGTTCTTATGGGCTCTGTGCAACTTCGGTGCTCGCGATGTGCGATGTCCATCTGCTGGATCATCTCCGCAGTCTGAGACAGGCAAACGATGGGTGACTCTTCCGGTTCTTCCAAGTTCCGTCCTAGAAATTTGGGATAATTTTGAAAACGAGCATCAGCATTTGAGAACAACGCTTGCGCGGGACCAACGCTCAGTGACCCGACACCTCCAACTCGGGACCTCTAAACTCTAAACCCTCTGATATCCTGTAATCTCAAACATGCCCAACTTGAGGCTTCTGGTTGCTAGAACCAGGGCATGCCGGCTCAATATGCCTCGCCAGAATGCATATCTACAAGGCCCAAGGTATCACAGCACTGTACAGCAAAGCTGCAAGCTGACTTCGACTCCTGCTGTCCCACTGCTTGCTGGAACACAACAGGCTCCCCAAAAACCACGAAGTACCCGTCTCAGATATCTGAAGTGAGTTCTTGTTGCCAACATTTGTGAACCATCGACAAGTCTCCCGTGACTTCGACAGCAATCGCAAGCTGCCCCTGAAAGCCTTTGCCGCCGCTTCTGTCTTCGCTCGCTCCACCTCCCAGTCCTCCAGAACATGTTGTTCTGTCAAACAGAATCACACAGCTACCCTCGAACTAAAAGAATGAATGGCAGCCGCCGCTATGTCTAGAATGAACACACACCGTCCTTGGCCCTGAGCTGTGCTTCAGCTTCTGCCAGCCGCTCACGAACCTTCTGCCAGCCAGAAGTGGCAACTCCAAAATATGCTCCAAGCTGCCACTGTATTACTGTATACATGCCCGTCTCCCATAACTCTCAAACCAACTCGGGACGCGTCATCTCGGCATGCAAGAAATTCCAAGGTACTAGTTCAACGCACAGGGTCCCCATTCGAACACGTATGGCCAGTCGAATGTGCCATCCTCTCAATGGTCCATTCTTGGCGAGCAGCTCGAGGTAGCTCTTGGCCAAGCTCTGCCACCCTCCAGCCATGGAAAAAGCATCATGCTGATCTCATCTTGTCGGCTCGTCCCTAAATCCGGGAGTTAAAGCGGCTCTCACTTGCCAAGAACGCCAAAAAGTCTGGGCTCCTGAGATCGAGGGGTTGCCGATGCCTTCGCTGCTCCACGGATAGCTGGGCAGCTGAGTCACGCTGAGCCTTTGCCACCTGCGAATATCGGCATTGCGACAAGTCATTGCTACGGCATCTGGCAGTAAAGCTAGAAACATGACTCTTCACTCTTCAACTGTGTGCTTGCTAAACATCCAAGAATGGTAGATGGACTTAACCTCGCAGGGCTGGGGCTGGGAAGTCATGCACCGGTTGCCTCTTCTTCGGCCCAACCTTGCCATCTCTCAAGCTCCTGAGAGTTCTGCGAAGCCGACTCAACTCTTAGAATCGCCCGTTATGATTCAGGTTTTTTGCCGAAAAGATGTGGCATCTGAGCAGCTGGCCAGCTCCAGATCTCGGACTCTGGCAGTGGCGGTTTCAATGTCGGCCTGACGGTGATCCCGGTGATTCTCAGCAAAGAGGTGGTGCCGCAATCAATGGCTCAGCATCGCACAGATGCTGAGCTGCTGAGGCTCTCCTCAGCCAATCCGGGAAAGCTTGCAACAGTAGTAGTCCTTTGAGTTGCCGCCGTTTCCAGCGGTCACGAGCTGTGTTCATGCTCGAATCGCCATGGCCACGGCGGTGGTGCACAACTTCATCCTAGTGAAATTGGAAAAAGTCTTGACCTACATCTACAGTGAATCTACAGATCGGTTGGACTCGGTTGGACGAACCTCCTACAGCGTCCTACGATACCAGTGCGCACGAGATCGCTACTGGCCGCCGCTCAAAGGGCAAGGCCCAGGCAAGAGCAGCCTGCAGGCTGCGGCACTTCTCCTCGGAGTCATGCAGGCCTCAGGGGTGGCAGCGACTCTGGATCTGCAAAGTGATCGATCGGCCATTGCAACAATACATATATATATATATATCATGCATCGAACCGGTATATCCTCACCGAACCGTATCTCCACCGCAGAAAACAACATCGCAGAAATCGACACCGCATCGTGATACCGCACCAGCTACCAGCCATCCGATGTCGCACGAACCGATTACGAATGGCATCGCTGATGTCTTGCTTCCAACATTGCTAATGTCGTGCTTCCAACGTTGGAGGGTTGGAGGGTTGCAGGACAGGAGGTTGAGAGGGCCATTAGAGGGTACGGGCTGGAGGATTGGAGAAGGAAGTTGTCCACAGCAGGAGGGGAGGGATGAAGTATTGGACGGGATTACAGCAGGGGAGGGTTGGGTCTGGAGAGTAGGGATGGGAGGAGAGGAGATAGGATTGCAGGAAGAGGTTGCAGGGCTGGAGAGAGCTGGATCGGAGGGGCAAAGAGAGTAGGCAAAGTTGAGCAGGAAGGAGCTGGCAGGAAGATGGATGGAGGTAGAGGTGTGTGGGCTGGAATTGGCGGCTTGGCTGGTGGCGGGAGGGTGGCTGGAGGGAGTGTGGCTGGTATCGAACCGCACCGCACCGCCAACAGGAAAACCTAGCAATTATAGTAATTATAGATTGCATACAATCGCGAACAACCGCAAACCGATCGAACCGAGGTATTGCAACCATGTTGCTTACGCGAAACCACGCTTCGACAAGATGTGCTATGCTGCGCCTCAGCTGCACCTCACTTCAAACATTCTGCATCTTTTTTCTGCAACCTCTGACTCCCGACACTTCTCCGTGCGGTATTGGTCTTTGCTTCGCCTCACCTGCTCGATCACGACTGGTCTCGTGACTCGCTAGTGCTGACACGGCCAAGACCTTCCGACCAGATCGCTACAGCCGCTACAGCACATCTTTTGGTAGCCGTAGCGGATGCGGCATGTCAACAAGCCTTTTGCCACCTTCTCTCGGACGGGTTTAATCTTGGCAATTCGCATCCTGATCGCTGCTTGCTCTCCTCGTGGCGCTCTAATGATCGCAGTCGTGCAGCGCGGCTGGAGCTACAGCAATCCACCACGATCTCCAGCAATGGCGCAGCCCAAGTCCACAACAATCAGGCCGTTGATCCAGTGCTACGGAACCTGTTTCTGAGCTCCTGCACCTCCTTCCACTTTGAGTCGGTAAGACGGGCCACTCTCTCTCTAGGTCCGAAAGGCGGCCAGCGAAGCAAGACGCCACCAACGCAAAGAGGATCGCCGGAGCTCCTCAGCACACATCCGACGACTGCAAAATGCTGCGTGCAGGCAGGTCTTGCGCCTCATGATGCTGGCGCATTCGCGAGCTTACTGTGAAGGCTTCTTCCTTCAGCGGCGAAGCAGGTCACAAGTTGATTCGACAGTGTTTTTCGGCACCTTGCGCACTACTTCGGCTTCACTTGCCTGCGTCATGGTGGCCAGCTGAAGCATCTCCCGCGCACTCCTGAGTCTCAGGTCGTCATGGTCACGTGTGGTCTGCCTGAGTCTTACCTTCCGCCCAGCACCGAAGATGCTTGCAGCAACAGCATCAACACCAACTCCACCGCGGCCACAACATACTCAATATTCTGATGGCCCTGGGAAAGAAACCCCCTGATCGATCTGACCAGAGACTACAGCGTCCTAGCATGTCGCAGCCACGGCTCTTGAAGCGAATGAGGTGGGGCCAGAGCTCCCACTCCGTATACTGTGCCCAGTAACCTCGGCAGCATGCATATATGGCACGAAACCGCGCATGCGACGTGATTGAATGCCTTTTCCATCGATTTTCCAATTAAAGCAACGTATTGCCGTGATCTTGGTTCTTGCAGGACAGCTAGCTTATGCTGGCTTCATTGATCCACCTGATGTCACAGGTGCCGCCGAGCAACGTCTGTCCTCATCGAAACGATCTGGTTGGAACACCTTGCCCTGGAAGGCGAACGGTGAGAAGGGATGGCTCGATGTGTTGGCCGCCGTCCTTGGGACTCTCTTGGGTTCTTTTGAATATGTCTTGGATGCATCCTGCTGCATCAGCCCAAAATAGCCCCAACTGCATTCCGACATAACGACAAGAACTCGGTCCAGCCAGATGTTCTAGAAAGCAGCACTCAACGTCAATTGTCTGAGATGAAGCTGCGGCTCGGATCCAGCGCTTGCGAAAGCTCAGAATCTGTGCGTCCACAGAAAGGGCCAGCATATGGCCACACATACCTGATGAACTCACTTGCTCGTTTCTGTCGTTCCGACGATCTGGGCCTCTAGGCGGGAAAGGGGAGTATCATGCAGACGTCACGAATCATGCAGGCAATTGTCTGTACTGTATTTGGGATTCGCGACGATGTAGACGTAAGAATCATTTGCAGGGCCGTGCAGGCGCAGGTTTTCCGCAAATCATGACGCAACTGATTTTTCCGAATTGCTTGTGCAGCAACGGGAGTGCTGGCACCAGTGTGGGCGAGTTTAGCCTTAATTTTCAACAGTCAAGTGAATGAGACAACAACGCTGGCAGCACACAGATGAATACGGTAGTTCCAAGTCTTCGACGCGAAGACATCTGGCAGGCGCTGCGCATAGGGAACCTCAATCTCTGTCCCAGCCCTGGCCCGCCCCATCTGCAAAAGGAGAGAAATAAATACACAGATAGATAGATCGATGGACGTATAGATGGATAGGTAGAAAGATAGATAAACTGATAGGTAGATAGATGGACGCTCGGATGGATGTCTTGGACAGATAGACAGTGGATCCTTCTGCGTGCTTTGAATCGCCGACGTTGGTCTTCGAGTGGTGTAGGAGCAGGGTATACATTTCAATGCCAAAACTTGTAGACACTTGTTTGCTTGTGATGGCTGGGGATACCTAGAGACCGGAGGCACGTTGGTTCGCAGATCCCAAACTCCAAACGGTAAAGGTGCGGGGATGAGGAGGGGGGAAGGAGGGGGGGGGGGGAAGAAAATAAACATAACAAACACTTCGCACTTTGATTTGTATGATGATTTGTTTTGTTTCCCCCCTCCTCCGGGACCCTGCAAGAACCTCCTCCTCAATGCGCCTGTCCTAAGACGGCGATGCCCGAGCTTTGATAAGGTCAAGAACCAAGCTCCCACGATGGGTAGGGTAAACCAACCCATGCTTTCGTTTTCTGGCTGAGGTGGTACTCTACTTGCACGCACAGACGTAAAACATGTTATGTATGTATTTATTTGTTTCCTTTGTGTGTGTGCACATACGAAGACATCTGCTTCTAACATGTTTATGTGTATATCATATGAAAGTGTGTGATTCTAATGTGTGTGTGTGTACATCTGTACATTTATGTCTTATGTCTGTATGCATGCCTTTCCGTGCGTACTCACATATATGCACAGAGGGCGACAGAGGAAGTGTGACGATCGATAATCAAGATAGACCCGAGGGTTATTACTGCTTCCCTAAGAAATCCAAACTCCAATGCTAGATGATGCCGTGGATGACGAAGCCAGTCATCAAAAAGAGTTCATGGTTCGCATACACGAAACCAGGGAGAATTGGCTCCCCGACAACTAAATAATTATGGGCTCATCTGGGTGAATGGTGGTGTGCACCGAGACCCCGTACTGTGTAGTTGACACTACAAATCGAAAATGTGAATATATATGTTTCATAGACCCGACGTGTCGAGCGATGACCATGGATCGCCCCCAAAAAACTAAATAGATCATGATGGGTTCATCTGTGTGAGCGGCGCCGAGGACCCAAGGAATGACTGGTTGCTAAAAACACCCCATCATGAGACCCCAAAGGCCTAGACAAGCAGGGATGGCTGCAAACTCCATTTCCTGGATGGCATGGCTCGCTTCTTAAAACCCACAATCTACAATAGGGCATGGTCAAGACGCGTAGATGCCAAAACTAGGAATGGCTGCCCCGCAAAGCCACGAAACTTGACAACAGCGATGCCATGAAGCGAACAGTCCGGTAAAAACGCAGGTTCCCCAGAGAATGGTGCGGATTAGTTGTTAATCATTCTAACATGAGATACTCGAAATCAGGGTACTGCGAAGAAGAATGAAGAAGACTTTTGGACGAGTTCTTGGAGGAGATGACGTTTGACCGACGCTCCCACCAACAAAGCCCAAATCAAGCAGGACATGCTACCCCAAAATCTGTCAGAATGTCACAGTGTCTTGAGTGCTGTAGGAGTGCTGCATAAAGATCACCTATCCACGGACAAGATGTAGAATAATTGAGTCTACGATGGGGAAAGTCTCCAAATTCCAACCCATCATTCGTTCATATACACTTTATATGTACTATCGGTCCTTAGATGATGGGAGTCCGCGGTCCTGGAGTTCTCAGACGGACTCGCTGCCAGCATCCCCTGCGGCGTCTCGAGCTGATGAAAGCCATCTGCTTGCGAGAGGACCCATGGTATGTCTGGCAAGGATGCCAAAGAACATGCTCAAGGCTCGGGACCGTGTGTGCGCCACAGTCAGAACAATGCTGGTCATGGACATGGACACAGCGTCCGTGAGCATGCCCCGCGTGGCCACAGCCACTTTCCGAAGTCCCTCGCATCAAAGTCTTCAGCTTCTCAGGCTGTACGACTGTACGGATTGAGCCGCACATTGCGTGCCGCCTGATCATCGCGCAATGCCCGGTCGCACCCTCTGAGCTCGGTGCTGGCAGTCCTTAACACGCTCAAGGGTGTTTACTTGAGCAGGCACGGTCTGCGGGGCTTAACGTCATGCCCAAGGCATGCAGCATGCATCGTCGAACCTGCTTCAAGCTGAGAGCCAGCGAGCACAGCTGCCTCAAGACTGCGTGATTTGCCCTCCGAGTGCGTCTTTTAAAAGCCGACTCCATCGTTGCCTGTTGCGCCGCTATTTCACGGGAGCAAGAAGCAGGCGAGGCCAAAAGGGCCTCCTTGACGCAAGGATGGACCTGCCATTAAGACAACCGCCGTTTGCGCCGACCATTGATCGTCCTCTCAGCGGCTCAAGAACGGATTGTGGCACGCCAATCTTCGCGAAGGAGAGTCACAGTAAAGTGGATCGAAGGCCTTGCAAAAGTCCAACGGGTAGTCGAATGGCCATTCTTGTTGCTCAGGTTCCTGAAATACGGTGAGGACAAAGGCACCACACTCTCGGCATGGAGGGCCTCCAGCCTGAAGGGGGGAGAGAATTCCCTGAAGAAAAGGACACCGTCTGAAAAGAAGAGGCGTTTGTCGTCGCCGTGGGTCCTTTGTGGTGCTAAATGGAATCAATCGACGTAGGGCCGTTGACATAACCGACCGTGACCAACAGCTGGCCACCCTCTTCAAGCACCAAGCCAGCAAAAGACCCTTCGTGTGCTGAGGAATAAAAATGAGTGCCTAAGACGAAGGGCCAGGTGTGTTGCAAACAAACCCACAGCCGCAGAGCGGCCTGCCAGAGCCTCTTCACTGATCTGTCCCGGTCGCTTGTAACATGTGTAACCGCAAATCAAGGATGTGTTCAGTGGTGCCTATTTACAGAACTCTCCGCACGTGGAGTAATGATGTTCGAGACTTCTCGTTACGTGTTTGCAAGTGGAAGAGAAAGGGTGTAGACTTCGGGGGCGACACTCAATATATAATATATACGTATTTAAGCATTCACGAAGCGTCTAGAATTTAGAATGCTGAGACCTGAGACCTAGCAACTGCGGGAGCAACGTATCAATGCTTTGTATAAGGCAAGACACATGCGGAAGTAGCGCCAATGCACGGAACCGGCTGATTTCTGTAAAGCCTCACAGCAGGCGGCAGAAGGATCCGATTGACGTGGGATGCTGCCGTTAGCAGTACCACCCAGACCCCTTTTAGTGTCAACACTTGTATGGTCACAAAACACGGCAGACAGCACAGACTGGAGTGATCGTAAGTTTACAGGCCAGGAAGCTCAAGGATTTCTGCGATGCCTCGATTCGAGCCGAAAGCACATCATGAGGGTCCAAAGGATTATGTGGCACAAGCAACGTCTAGATGTATACGTCCGCACTGTTAGAGCCTAAATCCTGCACCAAGTGCCTGGCAAACTACATCATTTCCCTGGAACTACTCACTTGCGGCCGCCTCGCCGACTCCAGCTGCAAGCAAGCAGCATCCATGATGACAGGTCTGGCAAATTGAATGCCTTGCGCACGTGCCTCGCAGCCAGGCTAAACAGTGCATACAGAGACGAGACGAGATGCAAGCTCGAGTGTGCCACAGCTTCGAAGCATCTAGTTGTTGACTATATAGTTGTAAATCATGCCAGTTTGATTCATACGTGGCGCTTGTTCGTGCCCTGGCGTCCATATGCACTCTCTCACTCCTGCTTGGGCATTCCTGGCTCCAAGCAAGTTCTGCTTGCATCGATCCGAAGACAAGCGTTCACCTCATGCTTCTGACTGTTATGTTGGAAATTGTCGGAGAAGGTCAGTTCAGTCCCAACCAACCACCCCTGGTCGTTTTAAGCGAAAAAATGACTATGTTCTTTGGTCGTGAGGTACTAATTCAGAATGATGACGGCTGCAAGCTAAAAATGAATTCCCGCCTCGGCAGTCAGCATTTGTAGGATGCGGATGAAGCCAGGAGCACCGGGAAGTCGGAATCGGAAAAAAAGCACGTCCTAGGCTTCACATGGCTTGGCACGGCTTCATCTGAAAATCCCCAACAAACAGTTTTCACTAGTGGAGCAGGGTGTCGGAAGACACCGGCGCATATTGCGCTGAAGCGGCCACATGCAGAGACAAGGCAGGCACGTAGGGCGGTCGAATGCCTGACTTGCGTGGGTAGGCGGCTGCAGTCACTACAGTGTGTAGCATGTCAAACTGCATCAAAAATGTTTGCAGTCGTAGCATGGCTCCCCTTCCGAACCAAGGCACCGCTCTGATAGTTCAGCATTTGCGCAGATATGGTGGCCGCCGCGCTCAGTCGTCCCTGACCGTTCGGCCGAGTAAGACACAAATGAGAAACGGGGGTGCAAACAAACACGCAGCCTGCTTCAGAAGGTCAGCGCCAAGCGCCTGCACCAGCGGCCAAAAGGCTGGGAGCTCCTGGTTTCAGCCATGAAAAGTACAAAGGAAAGTGTCAATTCCGCGAAGTCGCCTCTTCGCCAAAGACGTGAGCGAAGGCATGGAGCAAGCACCTGGGGCTATCGGGCAATCAGACAAGTGAGAGATGCTGTCTGCCTTCTGGTTCAAGTGGCATACTCACACGAACCAGCAAATGGCCGGAACCCACAGCAGCATGCAGCCTCGGCTCGATAACAAGCACACAGTAACTAAAGACAGTCCCTTTCGCATCCTTTCACACTGCAGCCGAGGAGCAGCACACAAAGCCAGAGCGGCTCGCAGCAGATTTGCAGCCCTAGTCACTAGTCAAGAACAACATGCATGTTTTTCAGCACAGCCGGCAACGGGCACACTGCCACGGTTGTGGTAGTCTGCCACAAACTCGCCCGCTCTTGATTTGCTTCCGGGCCACGACTGCGCCGAAGCAGCGGCTCGCGCTTCGCGAATCCGCGAAGTGCTGAAACGGCAGCTGCGACCTGCAGCACAACTCCAGGCCTGAATAATCGCAAGCCGTCAAGCCGACCTTCTCCGCGGTTGTATACTTGCACACAATTACGTCTGCGCCCTCCAGAATCCTAATGATGCCGATCCCGCCCCATCTTCAGCCTATACAAATCCACGACCATCCCGATGAGCGAAACATGTGCCATGGTTGAAACGGATCTTGGCAAGAGTCTGTCCAAGCAGGGAGGCCGTCGGTGCGGCCTTAGCCAGAGGCTGGAACATGCTCTATGGACCTGGTAAGCTTCGCAACAGGGCTGCGCCTCGAGATATTGTGAGCGGCTCGCCCCAGAACCTTAGCTGGGAGCGCATGCGAGCCACGAAGAAGGGCATGTCGTTTTTCGTCGTCTGCCAGGGAAGACAACAGCAGCAGAGCGGCTCCTCCCAAGAGATGCGAAGCGTCGCACGCAAAGCGTCGCCCTCTTTGGTGCCTCACAGCTTCAGAGCAAATCTTGCAGCATCGGTGCTGCGGTCTTTCTTTCTTTCGTTGGGCTAGCTCTCGCGCGACGGGTGACCCGGCCTGTTGGGTCCGCCTCCTTTTTGTTATGGACTTCTGGCACAGAAACCACACAAAAAAAAAAAAAAAACATTCAACTACAACACAACTTGAAAGTAACCTTCTGCCCTGCAGGCCCTTCTGAGGTGTCGGGCGCAGCCGACGCGTCG